CTGAATTCTGACTTTAATCTCAGAATTCTGACTTTAATCTCAGAATTCTGACTGAATTCTGACCATAAAAAAAGGTCAGAATTCTGACTTTTTTTCTCATGTTAAACTGAAATAAAAATTAAAAATCAGTTAACTTATTTTTTTTCAGTCGCCCTAATCCTCTTCCATAGAATTTGGAGGCTCTAACCTAACAGCGTTTTTTTAAAGGTGCAGTGAAAGCTCTGTTTTTTATATATATTCTGCCGTCCTGTCCTCTAGGACACCATCAACAACGTGAAGTCCCGCCTGGGAAAAAGCGTGCAGATCCAGACGCTGCTGCGGGCGTTCGAGGCCCGCGACCGGAACATCCAGGAAAGCAACTTTGAGAGGGTGAACTTTTGGTCGGTGGTCAACCTCGTCGTGATGATGGTGGTGTCGGCGGTCCAGGTCTATCTGGTCCGCTCGCTGTTTGAGGACAAGAGGAAAATTCGCACATAACGTCACCAAAGCTGGAAGGACAGAAATCAAGAAACTAACACATGAATACGGTTACTAAGGTTGCTCTTTTCTATGTTATTTTTTCTACAGTTTTAAGAAGGCCTCTCAGAAAACAACAAACATTTGCTAAGGACACATTCATCACTGCAGTTTTCTGTCTAATGGATCACAGGTTCTGAATAACAATCCTCCCTTTAAAGCTTTATACTGTGTTGTGCTCCTTCTTAGCTGCTGTTTATATGCAATCATTTTCCTAATAAGTGTTACCAGGCTGTAGCCAATTTGCAAATAATGTTTTATGTGAAAGTAAATGAAGAAGAGGTTTGCTTCCTGGATAACTTATTCCTGCCCATCAGTCAGGTAGCCTGTCCTCATGACTGTTGTGAAATCCATCTTTTAAACTGTTACCTGTTTACTGTCTGTATGTTGTTGAAATCGGCCATATTTGGTTTCCCCTCCACTGCTGAACCATCAGGTGTGCGGCTGCTCAGGTCGGACTGCTGCTAAGATAAAGACTGGAGTGGAAGAAAAGGAATCCGCGGCATCCGTAGCTGCTCAGGGTGTCTTCTTACAGCCCACTGACCCTGTGAAGATGTGCGCTCCGCTTTTCTCTCGCTCTCTAGTGACAGAAGTCTATTTCTGTGTGACTGACACCTGGAAGGCCGCTGCCAGCACCGCTCCGTTTACCGTCATCCTCGCCTACGTCTGCGCTTTTTCCTGGATAACTGACATCTTTGCTTAACTTGTAAATTTTAAAGGGATGATTGCACTGCCTTTAAACAGTTTTGACAGTTTTATTTGACTAAGGCACTGGATTTTCATAGGTGGGTTAAAGGAAGGCTTCATCAGTGCAGAGACCTGTCCTGGTTTACCTGTTGAAGGTTTAATGTATTTTTTTTTGCTTTAGATTCTGCTGTGGTATCAATCAGGTTTTTTATTTTTATATTTCTTTTCTTCACGGCTGAAGCCAAACTCTCTATAATTGCTGTAAGTGCATCCTGAAAGCCGGCCTTTACTATTCAGCCTTATGTTTCTAGGACTTAAAACCTAACATTCACCATCTGGGTTGAAATTATGCAAGTTTATTATGCAACGCTTTACTTTTTTGCTTTCCTGAATCTATTTTGCCTTTAAGAAGCGTTTATCTGCTCAGCTTTCATCTCTTTATGTTTGATGATAAGATTCTGGTATTGTTATAATAGATTTATAGATAATGTTTCTGATCTGACCTTTTAGAGGATAACATTTCTAAGAGTGTTTCTATGTTACTGAGAAGGAATAAAGGACTCTGCTACTCTTTTAAAAAAACATTTTCTACATTTTTGATGGATCTTAGGAGGATTGAAGGAACTTGACATTTATTCCAATGTTCTGAACTTGTTGATAAAGTAAACAAGCCAAACTTTTCTGATTTGTGTCCTTGCTTATGTATCTTTAAGCAAAATATATCAGGAAGTCTAAATACTTGTGTTTAAATAAACAAAAGCTGGTATTCCTGGAGCCACTAAAATAAGATTAAAGTTAGATAACGGCTGTTAGGAAGAGAGACTCAGAAATAAGTTCAATTCTAATTACCACCTGCTAAATTTAGTTGTATTTCTCGTTTGCTTATGTTCCTGTTCTGATACTTTGGTTTATAGAAGCATCAGAAACCATCTGCACAGTGGGAGCAGCTGAACTGCATGTTTTACTGTCAACAATTTCCAAAAAACCTAATTTCTTCCTGGTACCTTTTCAGATTATGGGAATAGTGTGCTAGCCTGCTTTTTGCCAGCTGGGTGGCAGTGTGCAGCAGCAGTTGTTACCATTTGGGGCTTCTTCGCTTTCTCTGCTACATCATTAAAATAGTCTTTAAATCTGAGGATGACTAATCATTTTAGAGATTTAGAAACCGTATTTTAAAATGCTTGGAGCTGCTAAACATCTGAAGAAGAGAAATTATTTCAGCTCTACTTCTTTTTTTTATTGGTGGATGGCAAACAACTTAAGGTGCATTTACTGCCACCATCCAGACTGAAGTGAGGTCATATTAATAATAAATATCTCAATGGTGTGCACAAATGTGCAAATTTCAGCTCGACTAGAAGAATGGAAACCTTTTATTAGATATTCCTCTTTTCTTGTGGCTGTAGAGCTGTGATGATCAGACAGTCCTTCACTTCCTAAAAAGAATATGTGAGATTCTTTTTAGGAAAGTTTGAAATGTTTTTCATTCTGATCCGTGATGCTTAATGTCCTATCAGATACCGTACAGATGATCTGGTCCTGGGAACGCTGCAGAAGTCTGACACCCTCTGTAAAAAAAATATTGGTCACATGAAATCAAAGTATTATCTGAATGTTCAGTCTTTCACTGGTTCTAAAATGCTTGCACAAGTATCCCTGGTTTTCCTCTTAGTAGTATTTAAAAAATCATTTTGGTTTATTTTTTTGCAGTTAAGTTTGTTAAACTTACCTTTGATGAAGAAAAACAAAAATAGCTTTTTGAGGACATCGATCTTTGTTTAATCTTAAAACGCTCGAACAAAAATTGTAGAGAAATCTTAAAGCTTAAATGTTTCATATATCAACCAAGTTAAGGAATTTTGGCCCACTGTTCTTTATTGTCTAATTTCAGTAACATCAGAGGCATATGTACCATCGGTTTATGTTTATGATGCAGCACATTAGTTGTATTTCAGCCTAGAATCGAAGCAGGCTGTATAAAAGTTCTTCAGATGTTGATTTGCTGACATGCTTTGGATTATTGTCATGCAGTATAATCCCAGAGCGCTGAATATGAGAACACAAGCGAATGTCTGCATATTCTCTGTCAGGATTTTATTATAGAGATCAGGATTCACGGCTCCATCGATTACAGAAGCTGGACTTCATGATACGATCATAATATTTAATGCCAGATGTAAGAGGATACACACAATTCAGTTAGCTCTTTTTGAAAAGCATTGGTTTTTGCAGTTTTATTAAACTGTACTGCATTGAATACAGTTTCGTTGTGGCTTGCGTTATTGATAGATTTATTTTATTCTAGGAAAGATAAAGACTCAGTTCGAAGGATAAAGTCTTTTCAATGTGTTTTTTTTTTTTTTTTTTTATTAGATAGTAACTTTTGTTGTGGTTCAATGAAGTCCAAAAACCTTTAAAACATGGTAAAAGCCCTTCCTTGATGGATAAATATCAAGGACTTTCAGGGGTTTCCAGTTAGTGTGTTGCTATTTTGAAGGAACATACCATTGACACAGAATTTTGCAGGTTCTGCGATGCATCGTTGACCCCAGCAGGTTTCCTTTCTGTCTGAAGGTTTCTCACTGGCAGAGGCGGATAGAGTCTTTGTTTTGACAAGCTTTAAAAAATACATAATGAAGCAGGAATATTTTAATTTAGCCCAATAACTCGTTTAACTAAGAATTGATAGCTAAAAAAAGAAATAGAAAACCCTTTAGGGGAAATGCTGACGTGTTGATTCTGTCTTATTTCAACAGAAAAGGGGCCACATATGTTCACCACGGACACCTTTTAGAGAAAAAGATAATATTATAAATGATTGAAAAAATAATAAAATATAGAAAAAATATTGTTTGTGAATTATGCAGTTAATTTATGCAGTATTATAAATTATATTTTATACTTGAATTGTATCAATGTGTATTATTTTTTCATATTTCCTTGATAAAGCTTCTCTTCATGACATTTTTAAAATTCCTCATCAAGTAGACTTTGCTGATTCACTGGTTGACCTACAGAGAAGTTCTCATCTTGGGGAGCGGCGGCCTAATGGGGCCCAGTGGTTAGGGCCTAGAATTTGGAATCCTGAGGTTCTGAATTTGAGCCCCACCACACAGACTGCCACTCTGGGTCCCTGAGCAAGACCCTTAACCCCACACTGCTCCCTAACAGGATGGGTTAAATGCAGAGGTTAATTTCTCCAGTGCCAAATCAATAAACAGTTCAATTATATGTGGGAAAATATTTTGTATTCTTTCTTTTTTCCTACTGTACTGTTCACTGTGATGCAACGCTGCAATTTCCCCACTGTGGGACAAATAAAGGATTATCTTATCTTATTATCTTATCTTAAAATAATCAATAAAAACCACAAAGGTAATTATCTAGCATGTTAGTTCTAGATTTCCACATTTTATAAATATGTATACAGTGTATAAAACATTAAAGTAATATTCATATCGATTCAGTTGAATTAGTCTTTTTCTTTCTTCTTTACATGATTATGACTCAGCCATAGAGTTTTTATTAGTTGTATAAATTATGTAAATCAAAGAATATTATTAAAAACAGAATTAGGTTTTAACGGGGAATTGAAATCTGAGAATGTGGTTGAAAATTTAAATAATATTGAAGAAGAAGAAGATTTTTAGTAAAAAAAAAATACTGGGACCATTATGAGAATTTGAGGAATAGATATTAGGATCCAATAGATGGTAGTAGAGCAATAATAATGGAAGCTGCCGTTTAAACCTAAAGAAGAAGAAAATTAAGCAGAAGAAGAAGATAACGCAGAGCGTCACGGTTTTAAAAACAACCAACAGCAGGGGGCGCTGTGACTGCAGCTGACACCTTTACTTCCGGGACAATGAGAGGATGAGTGTAAAACAACTTCGCCCTTAGCGACAAAAATCTCCGCCTAGGTAAGTGAAGAAACTGTAAATATTTGCTGGAATTTATTCTAATCACTTTATAACCTTTTTTTATTCTGAATTCGTGCTTAGTAGAATAAGTCATGATATTGGAATTACGGCAAACCGGAAGTGCCACAACATCTGAACATCCGTCAAAACACTGTAGCATACCATGAAATTTAACCAAAACACCAGATATACATCCTGGTTTTATGACTTATTTGTTTCTTTTAATTGTCACAGCAGTTATACGCGATGCTATAATCTGAAATTATACCCAGAGCTATAAAACTATATTTATTTTTGGGCTGAATATGGCTAACGCCGGTGTGAAGCTACTGCTAGCTAGTTCATGAAACGATGTTAAACTTCACGTTCAGTTGCTTAAACTGAACTTTACAAACGCTTAGTAATAAATACAGCTTTCAATTTATAAAGCAGGACGGGTTAAGTCAGATTTCCTTATTTGTTTCTATCGTCTGTTTGATTTGATGTTCATCAATTTCACACGATGCTTACAGCTTAAAACTAACTTCAATGCAGCAGTTTGATTGTATTTCTTTTCTTTGAAATTATTCATTTTAGTAGAACATCTAGTGGTTTGAAAGTATTAAGTTTACACTTAAGTATCAGGCTCATGTTATTACATTAACCATTTAAAAAGTAGGGCTACATTCATGAGCCCTTCCCTAGAGACTGGTTTCTAAATAACATACAGTAGGGATAGTGTTAAGCTAAATAATTCTATTCAGTTTATTTCTATAGCGGGAATTCACAACACATCATCTTAGGTCACTTTCCAGTTCACCAGATCATCCAGTCAGATTGAATCAAAGTTTTCTATCTAGGACAAACCAGCTGATTGCATCGACTCATTGACTCTTCAGCAATCCCTCACACTAAGCATGCTTGTAGCGACAGTGGAGAGGAAAAACTCCCTTTGAACAGGAAGAAACCTCCAGCAGAACCAGGCTCAGTGTGAGCGGCCATCTGCTGAGGCCCACTGGGGTTCAAGGAGACAGAAGCAGACATAGAAAAAGAAGTACAGTATATTGAGATACAAAAGGCAACTGTCAACCAGCTCCACAGGCGGCCCCGTCCAGGAAACACACAGCCAGGCAGACGAGCTCCGAGCCAGCTCCCATGTCAGAGGATGAAGAGAGCACATCCAGTTAGTCACAGTCAGAGAAACAGGACTACACTGGAAAACAGGCCAAGCTCCAACATCTAGAAACAAAGGTGTTGATGACAGCAGCACAGCAGATATTTCTCTCCAGGATGGAGTCGCAGCCAAACAGGCCATGGCCTCTGACTTGGAGGAGGACCCAGTTCTGCTTTCACCAGGGAAGGCGTGTCATCCGGGTTGAGGAGATCCTTAAAATATTCAGAAAGTTTCTTTATGCTCTAACTATTCCATGCCGGCAGTGTGATATTTTTCACGGCACCGTTTTCCCACTAATTTCCAAAATAAATTAAGACAATACTCCTAATATCAGGTATTGTTTTAATTGACAGTGTAGCGAGATGTTCTGTTATGTGCTTTGCAAAAACACAAACTAACCGCTGTTTTGATCCGTAGAGAGGCGATGGGGCCAGATGGGGTACCGAGTCAGTCTGTGCCCTGGAGGAAGGTGCTGTGGGAACGGCAGCCGTTCCCCGACAACTACGTGGACCAGAGGTTCCTGGAGGAATTACGGAGGAACGAGGGCATCCGGCAGTACCGCTACTGGGCTGTAGTGAAAGAAGCAGGCTTTGTGGGACAGCAGCTGTCCTGTGTGGCCATTTTCATCACTCTCTGGCTCTACATGGAGCAGGTAGAACCATAGAGAAGCTTTTCTCTTCATACCTGCTGTTTCTGTTCTGATTAGTGAATATCTTTCTTCTCATAGGGTCTCCTCTCCCCTGAGACGTTGCTTTGGACCAGCCTCTCGTGTGCCCTCCCGGGCTACGGACTCTACCAAGTGCTGACAGCTCAGACTGAATCCTGCAGCGAGAGCCGCACACATTTAGCGGATTCCCAGAGCGCCGTCCTCTTCCTTTCCTTCACCTTCGGCTTCTCCCCAGTCCTTAAAACGTTAACAGAGTCTGTAAGCACGGACACGGTGTACGCCATGTCCGCTCTGATGCTGCTGGCCCACCTGGTGTCGTTTCCTTACGCCCACCCTTCACCCCCCGGCAGCCTGTCTTTAAACGCTGCGTTGTTTGCCTCCGTGTGCTTGGCCTCCAGGTTACCTGGCGCTCTGCACACCTTTGCCATGCTCACCTGTGCGCTGTTGGTGTTCGCCCTGTGGCCCTGTCTGCTCCAGAGGTTGAGGGAGAACGCGCCTGGCCACTTTACGGGGGCGTGTGTCGGGGTGTGTGTGGGAGGGGTAGGAGGTCTGGGATCTCAGTCCCCTGGAGGAGCCATGCTCTTATCCCTGGCGTTGGTGAGCGTTACGTTAATCTGTCCCCTGCTGTTGGTCAGCCTGCAAAGGCACAAGGACAACATCCAGGGGCCGTGGGACGAGGCGGAGATTCAGGAGGACCTCAGCCGCTTCCTCCACTAACGAACAGAGCAAACTCAGCAGGGACCGTCGCTTCATTTTACATGCCTCCTTTTTATACCGTAAGCTTTTCTCATTGGTCCGTTTCTAGAGGCATAACAAACTGCTCCTCCCATGGATGGTTTTAATTTTAAAGCTGCTACACTTTTCTAAGCACTGACCTTAACAATTATAAGTCAAGTTTTAATGGTGTGTGAGAAATTATATTTAGTGTGTATATATATATATATATATATATATATATATATATATATATATATATATATATATATATATTGGAATAAGGGCTCTGATTCTTTTGGTATTTTAGTTCAGTTAAATTTTGACGTATTTATAAATTTGGTGATTGGAGGTGTCATTTTTATAACTGATAACACTCTTAACCTTTTGCTCAGTTTTAGCAGTGATATTTACACCATTCTAACTTTATTTGCATGAAATGTGGTACTTGGAAATGTTGGGGGGAAAAAGATCAAACTTATTTATAACTTAAAATATTGATTATTTTGTAACAAAGACTCTTTTGCCAACAGAAGTCTTAAACATACATTTTAATTATCAGCGACGTTTGAAGCACAAAAACTTAAAAAGAAACGAGGATTTCTGTTAGATGTTCATGTTGCTTTAACAGAACTAGACTTTAGCTGCGGCTTATTTTGTAGCTTCAATTAAAAACTCTTTTGGTCATTAAAAACTAGATTTGGTCAACCGTTATTCACCATGGCAACAGCTTGTTGACACTGAGGTGTTTTAAACCAATAACAGGAAGGGAAAAGAGCAAAGTCTGTTTAACCCTGTTGAGGATGCCGGATGTGGAAACGTCAGCAGCCTTTTTAGCGTCTTTGAGTTTGAGGGAAAACTGACGGTTTGTTTAGAGTTGGTAATGCTAAGCACACTAATCACTAATGTAGGAAACGGTTTTAGGTCCAAATACGTTTGTCTTTGTTATAAAATATTACAAAAAAACTTTTTTAGTCGAGGAACAATATTTTTAGATCACCCTTGTTGTTATATTACCTGGAAAAATAAAACTTACACAAAAAATGAAAAAAAGGAGGTTAATCTTTTTTTTCTGTCAGTAGATGAATAATTAATCATCCATTATAACATGAAAAAATAGTATTTTGAAAACGACATAAGAAATTTTTCTTCAACAGAAATTGGAAGCTGCTGAAGTTGTTGATATCAGATAGTCTAAGCTTTTCAGAAACTTATTGGAGCATTTCTGTTTTATGATGAGCAAAGAAAAGCTTCTTGAGCTATTATAATAATTTGATCCCTACTTATAGAAGCAAATCTGTTTTTATGCAGGAGAGCTTTTCTAGGCGAAGGGTTATAGTTCAGTCTTGTGCACATGAAGCTGGATATTTAATATCCAGAGTAATTAAAATCATTTTTGCAACTCTAACCTGAGTAAACTGATCAAATGCTATGTTGCTGATTTTCACTGTTGACTTGAATTTAATGTCGGAGATAACAGTAATTTTTTTGTTTTTTTCTATTGGTCTGAATAAAGTATAAATCATCCGGTTGATTCTTTCATTTAGCCTTTCAGTGCAACTTTAAGCAGAAACGTGTGATAATGGCAGGCTGCCTGCCAGTGCTGCTCGGAAACATAAGAGTAGACCCCGCACTGACTGTCAGGGCGCAGGAATTACGGGCGCCATCTTTGGGAGGTCGACCTGCTGCTTTAAGCAGAACAGAAGGAGGATGCCTCAGCACTGCTGCGTATCTTTGTGTAAACCAACAGACTGTTGACATCAGGGCTGGAGGGAGAACTTCATGAAGGCATCAGAGCTTTGGAGGCATTAATTAATAAACAGCATATATCCACTAAAATAGAATAGAAACTCACTATAATATCCCACAATGGGTAAATTGTGCTGTTACTGCAGCAAAATATTACAGCAGAAGTCGTCACACAAACGAGGACCTTAAAAAGTGCATACAAATAATAGAATAAGTGATAGAGTTAGAAAAAAAAAATATTTCCAATCCATTTTTATTTGTTAAGCAGGTAAGAACAACCACAGCTGACCAAAGAGCTGTAAAGAAAAATAAGTAAAACATAAAACACTATAAATAAAAAAACAAACTGCTAAAACATGGGTAAAAATTACATTCACATAAAATATAAATATAAAAAATACAATGGTGGACTAGTGTTTTTACAAATATTAACACTGAAGAATAGATAATCAATATACAGATGTGGACATTTTTACAGTATTTAACATTATTTACAGTATAGTTATATAAAGATACACACATATACATATATATTTATATAAATGTATAAATTAAATTGTATAAATGTTTCTATGGAAGCCCGTTTCCGCCACTCTGTAAAAAAAAAAAAAAAAACTATCTCAATATAATGAGATAGTATCTCATTATAATGAGATAGTAACTCAATATAATGAGATAGTAACTCAATATAATGAGATAGTATCTCATTATAATGAGATAGTAACTCAATATAATGAGATAGTATCTCATTATAATGAGATACTATCTCATTATATTGAGTTACTATCTCATTATATTGAGATAGTTTTTTTTTAATTTTTTACCAATTTTTAAGTTAAAATTGAGTATTTTTGGTCAATAGCTCCCAGGTCATGTGACCTATTGATGCAAAATCAGTGTGAAATTGTTCTACTAGTCTCTGTAGATGGGGCACACTCATTTGTTTTGCATTTTAACTCTTTTTTGTTTTTTTTACCAATTTTTTTAGTTAAAATTGAGTATTTTTCGTCAATAGCTCCCGGGTCATGTGACCTATTGACCCAAAATCAGTGTGAAATGGTTCTACTAGTCTCTGTAGATGGGACACACTCATTTATGTTTCATTTTAACTCTTTTTTTATTTTTTTACCAATTTTTTAAGTTAAAATTTAGTATTTTTGGTCAATAGCTCCCAGGTCATGTGACCTATTGACCCAAAATCAGTGTGAATTGTTGGGTCCCCCCTTACATGGGCCCACCACCCGTGAGAGGGGCCATAAGGGTCGTATGCAATGTGTGTTGGCCGGGGGAGGGGACCCTGGTGGTCCGTTCTTTGGCTGCAGAAGCTGGCTCTTGGGATGTGGAATGTCACCTCGCTGGTGGGAAGGGACCGGAGCTAGTGTGTGAGGCTGAGAGGTTCCGGCTAGAAATAGTCTGTCTCACCTCGACGTATGGTTCTGGTTCTGGAACCAGTCTCCTATAGAGGGGCTGGACATACTTCCACTCTGGAGTTGCCCACAGTGACAGGCGCTTGGCAGGAGTGGGCATACTTGTTGCCCCCCATCTCGGTGCCTGTACGTTGGGGTTCATCCCGGTGAACGAGAGGGCTCCGCCTAAGGGTGGGGGGACGGGTTCTGACTGTTGTCTGTGCTAACGGGCCAAACAACAGTTCAGATTACCCACCCTTCTTGGAGTCCTTAGAGGGAGAACTGGAGGGTGCTCCTCCTGGGGACTCCCTTGTTCTGCTGGGAGACTTCAAAGCTCACGTGGGCAATGACAGTGAGACCTGGAGGGGCATGGTTGGGAGGAATGGTCGCCCCGATCTGAACTCGAGTGGTGTTCTGTTGTTGGACTTCTGTGCTCGTCATGGATTGTCCATAACGAACACCATGTTCAAGCATAAGGGTGTCCATATGTGGTAAAAAATAAAAAAAGAGTTAAAATGCAAAACAAATGAGTGTGCCCCATCTACAGAGACTAGTAGAACAATTTCACACTGATTTTGGGTCAATAGGTCACATGACCTGGGAGCTATTGACCAAAAATACTCAATTTTAACTTAAAAAATTGGTTAAAAAAAATAAAAAAAAGAGTTAAAATGAAAAACAAATGAGTGTGCCCCATCTACAGAGACTAGTAGAACAATTTCACTCTGATTTTGGGTCAATAGGTCACATGACCTGGGAGCTATTGACCAAAAATACTAAATTTTAACTAAAAAAATTGCTAAAAAATAAAAAAAAGAATTAAAATGAAAATCAAATGAGTGTGCCCCATCTACAGAGACTAGTAGAACAATTTCCAAGTGATTTTGCATCAATAGGTCACATGATCTGGGAGCTATTGACCAAAAATACTCAATTTTAACTTAAAAAATTGGTAAAAAATAAAAAAGAGTTAAAATGAAAAACAAATGAGTGTGCCCCATCTACAGAGACTAGTAAAACAATTTCACACTGATTTTGCATCAATAGGTCACATGACCTGGGAGCTATTGACCAAAAATACTCAATTTTAACTTAAAAAATTGGTTAAAAAAAAAAAAACTATCTCATTATATTGAGATACTATCTCATTATAATGAGATAGTATCTCATTATAATGAGATAGTATCTCATTATATTGAGTTACTATCTCATTATATTGAGTTACTATCTCATTATATTGAGTTACTATCTCATTATAATGAGATAGTATCTCATTATATTGAGATAGTTTTTTTTTTTTTTTTTTTTTTTTACAGAGTGGCGGAAACGGGCTTCCATATGTTTCTGTATATAGTAATAAAAAAAAATGAAAATGTATAAGTGGCTGTTCTTTGCAACATACATACATCCCATCAGAATCCTTTATTACTGTTAACCCCACTGAGAAGATTTAAATACACTGAACCATTTGACTGTTTCTATAGAAGCCCGTTTCCGCAACATGAAAGTAAAAAAAAAAGCCAAATAGAAAGTCATAATTTTGGAATAAAAGTAATAATTTCTCGTTTCAAAGTCGAAATTATGACTTTCTATTTGCCTTTTTTTTATGTGATGGTAACGGGCTTCCATAGTTTTCAGCATAAAAACAAAACTGTGAACATTTGTTCAATTTTCAGAAAGTTAAAGTTGATAAAAGTCGATTCTGTGCCTCCTCAACACATTCCACTGAGCAGAGCTGCCGACCGCCCCAAGATGGCGCCACCAAATCACGTCAGCTCTCACAGGTGAAGGCGATCGATGCGGGTCTACTCTGATACTCTGCTGCTGCTCGGTGGTCGCTAGGTATCAGACCTTCCTCGGTGTTCTGCTCGCCGTGGATCGGGACGTGGCTGCGGGGTTTTCAGTAATAATGTAATAATGACGCGGGTTAACTGCGGTAGCGCCACGGAGATCAGAGGTTGTCATGGAAACAGCGCTGTCTGATATCGAATCATGGCGGAGGGAGTTTTTTTCGGAACATGAGATCATCGCTGTGAACACTTTGATTTCCTTTAGGAAAAAAAAAAAAAAAAGTTGTGTCCTATTTCCGAGGACAGAGGCGCAATTATCAAATGATTACAGCAAGAACCAGAAAAACAAAACAACAACAAAAAAGTTATTATTACTGCTGCTATGGCGAAAATTCAAACTTTATTAGTTTTCATAAACCCAAATATTAGTTCATGGTTTTAAATACCTAAAATCCTCTGACTTGATGCAGCAATTTAATCAGACTTTATACTTTAAATCTATACGGAAATCAGTTTACATTTTAAACCTGTGATAGACTTTTAACACAGTAAGACTTTTTTTAAAGTATTATTTTCAATATTGCAAATATATGTTCTACCATTTAGGGGCTTGATTCAATGCCTTAATTGATTATAACAAAATTCTTTACTTTATTTTCACCAGAAAGAGAGCATTGTGCAATAATAAGAAAACACAACCTAACAGAAAGGCTGTTGCTTAAATTCTTGTTCAAGATAAATCCAGTTAATTGTTGAAATGAAGTTGAAAGTATTTAAATTTTTTGATGTAATCTAAAAACTGTGCAGGCTAATCCAAGCATCTGGTAATGTTTTAAATCAATCAGTTAACTGGAGAAAAAGAGGATGACAAATTAAGTATCAGAGATTTTTTTCTTTAATTATCAACATGGATTCCAAAACAGCAGACAAACATTTCTTTTAAGCTATATTCAACCCACAGCGTTACGGATCAAAACATGTCAACAGACTGAGTGACAGCCGGTTTATAGGGTCTCTGCCCCTCCCTCAGTGGTTTAGTGGTGGCAGCGTTGAGGGATGAATAAAAGTCCAGCAATGACATCTTTTTAAAAAACACCAAAGAATAAAACTCATTTTTACAAACAAAAACAGGAGTGAAAATAATAAATGTGTATTTTTGCAGCATTTTTACGTTCAGGCACTTGAGGGAAATCTGCACACATTCCGGTTTGTTATGATGAGACATATCGACGTATAAAACAGGCTCAGGACGGAGTGAATTTAGCAGACATCAGTTCCCAACGGAGGAGGAGGAGAGACGCTCAGGAAAGTGCTTCAGCTGGTTTAATCATCATGGAGGTCAGAGGCGGTTCTTTCTAGTGGTCAACGAGGGCTGGGAGGAGCACAGGAGCAGAGGAGAGCTCCGATGAGCAGACCTATTTCACACCTGGGATTGCTGGCGGTTGCCTCCTGGGAAAAAAAGGTCAGATACAATACGTTGCAGTTTGGCAAAAAATAAAAAAAAATAGGCACAGAGTCTCTTTGAAGTCCTCCAACAAATGCAAACTGTACCAATCAATAAACATCACAGTGTGTTTGAACTTAAGACGATTCCACATTCATGGCTGGAAGTTTCCATCCTCAGGTACTTTTTCCAGGGTTTGTTGCACCACAATCACAAAGCTGAATGCATGTCATTTGAATTCTTTATAAGAAACCAATATCAAATAACTCTAATTGTTGTATTTCTGAGCTGCGCAGCTCACACCTCTAATAGCATGGTTGCAAGATTCTGTATGCAAAAGATGGCTAAATATTGAGAAAGGCTCATGCCGACGGCCCTTACAGAATCTACTCTTGTTTGGAGCATTAACCAACATTGGTCTTATAAATGCTTTTGTCCTCTCACAGATGGACTCAGGATTCACAAATTGGTCTAACAAACCTCACAAAAATGGGTGCTTTAAATCATTTGAACAATTAAGAGTAGAATTCAAACTCCCCAATACTGATTTTTTTCAGGTATACTTACAACTAAAGGAGTTTGTAATAAAGTACAGAGAATGGACTGAATCTTAGAGCTCTTGATAAAACTGCAAACAGGCAGTGGGAATAAGAAAATAATCAGCCATTTTTACAATATTTATAGATATGGATCTCAAAAAAACTACAGACCAAAGAAAAATGGGAAAGTAAAATTACCGTAATATAGATATACAGCAAAACTGAAGGGTGCAAATATGCAGTGAAGCACATCAAGTCACGAGAATTCAGGTGGAAGGTAATGTTACGTAATATTACAGCGGTCAAATCCAAAATGGGAACCTTAAACTCAGATAAATGCTGGAGAAGTCGAGGGTCACACACTGGTATCCCTCACTCATATATTTTGGATGTGCCCTAAATTGAGAAAAATATGGGAGGAGATATTTGAGGCGCTTACAAAAGTTTTTCATAAAACTTTTAACAAGATACTGAGATGATATTGCTTTGGATTATTAACAAATTCATTATTGGAAGAGGGAAAAAAATACCTTCTACAAATATTACTGAATGCTATGAAAGGGGATTAGGGCCACTGAAAAAATAAAAAAGTTAACTGATTTTTACATTTTTATTTCAGTTTAATATGGGAAAAATGTGGGGGGAAAAGTCTGAATTCTGACTTTAATTTTAGAAGTCTGACTTTAATCTCAGAATTCTGACTTTAATCTTAGAATTCTAAATTTTTTTCCTCAGAATTCTGACTTTAATCTTAGAATTCTGACTTTAATCTCAGAATTCTGACTTTAATCTCAGAATTCTGACTTTAATCTTAGAATTCAGACTTTAATCTCAGAATTCTGACTTTTTTTTCTCAGAATTCTGACTTTAATCTCAGAGTTCTGACTTTAATCTTAGAATTCTGACTTTAATCTCAGAATTCTGACTTTAATCTTAGAATTCTGACTTTTTTTCCTCAGAATTCGGACTTTAATCTTAGAATTCTGACTTAAACTCAGAATTCTGACTTTAATCTCAGAATTCTGACTTTAATCTCAGAATTCTGACTTTTTTTCCTCAGAATTCTGACTTTAATCTTAGAATTCTGACTTTAATCTCAGAATTCTGACTTTAATCTCAGAATTCTGACTTTTTTTCCTCAGAATTCAGACTTTAATCTTAGAATTCTGACATTAATCTCAGAATTCTGACTTTAATCTCAGAATTCTGACTTTAATCTTAGAATTCTGACTTTTTTTTTCTCAGAATTCTGACTTTAATCTCAGAATTCTGACTTTAATCTTAGAATCCTGACTTTAATCTCAGAAGTCTGACTTTAATCTCAGAATTCTGACTTTGATCTCAGAATTCTGACTTTAATATCAGAATTCTGACTTTAATCTTAGAATTCTGACTTTGATCTCAGAATTTTGACTTTGATCTTAGAATTCAGACTTTAATCTCAGAATTCTGACTTTTTTTTCTCAGAATTCTGACTTTAATCTCAGAGTTCTGACTTTAATCTTAGAATTCTGACTTTAATCTCAGAAGTCTGACTTTAATCTCAGAATTCTGACTTTAATCTTAGAATTCTAAATTTTTTTCCTCAGAATTCTGACTTTAATCTTAGAATTCTGACTTTAATCTCAGAATTCTGACTTTAATCTCAGAATTCTGACTTTAATCTTAGAATTCAGACTTTAATCTCAGAATTCTGACTTTTTTTTCTCAGAATTCTGACTTTAATCTCAGAGTTCTGACTTTAATCTTAGAATTCTGACTTTAATCTCAGAATTCTGACTTTAATCTTAGAATTCTGACTTTTTTTCCTCAGAATTCGGACTTTAATCTTAGAATTCTGACTTAAACTCAGAATTCTGACTTTAATCTCAGAATTCTGACTTTTTTTCCTCAGAATTCTGACTTTAATCTTAGAATTCTGACTTTAATCTCAGAATTCTGACTTTAATCTCAGAATTCTGACTTTTTTTCCTCAGAATTCAGACTTTAATCTTAGAATTCTGACTTTAATCTCAGAATTCTGACTTTAATCTCAGAATTCTGACTTTAATCTTAGAATTCTGACTTTTTTTTCTCAGAATTTTGACTTTAATCTCAGAATTCTGACTTTAATCTTAGAATCCTGACTTTTTTTCCTCAGAATTTTGACTTTAATCTTAGAATTCTGACTTTGATCTCAGAATTCTGACTTTAATATCAGAATTCTGACTTTGATCTCAGAATTTTGACTTTGATCTCAGAATTCTGACTTTAATCTCAGAATTCTGACTTTGATCTCAGAATTTTGACTTTGATCTCAGAATTCTGACTTTGATCTCAGAATTCTGACTTTAATATCAGAATTCTGACTTTAATCTCAGAATTCTGACTTTAATCTTAGAATTCTGACTTTAATCTCAGAATTCTGACTTTAATCTTAGAATTCTGACTTTAATCTTAAAATTCTGACTTTAATCTCAGAATTCTGACTTTAATCTTAGAATTCTGACTTTAATCTCAGAGTTCTGACTTTAATCTTAGAATTCTGACTTTAATCTCAGAATTCTGACTTGAATCTTAGAATTCTGACTTTAATCTTAGAATTCTGACTTTAATCTCAGAATTCTGACTTTAATCTCAGAATTCTGACTTTTTTTCCTCAGAATTCTGACTTTTTTTCCTCAGAATTCTGACTTTAATCTTAGAATTCTGACTTTTTTTCCTCAGAATTCTGACTTTAATCTCAGAATTCTGACTTTAATCTCAGAATTCTGACTTTAATCTTAGAATCCTGACTTTTTTTCCTCAGAATTTTGACTTTAATCTTAGAATTCTGACTTTGATCTCAGAATTCTGACTTTAATCGTAGAATTCTGACTTTGATCTCAGAATTTTGACTTTGATCTCAGAATTCTGACTTTGATCTCAGAATTCTGACTTTAATATCAGAATTTTGACTTTAATCTCTGAATTCTGACTTTAATCTTAGAATTCTGACTTTAATCTCAGAATTCTGACTTTAATCTTAGAATTCTGACTTTAATCTTAGAATTCTGACTTTATTTTCTCAGAATTCTGACTTTAATCCCAGAATTCTGATTTTTTTTCCTCAGAATTCTGACTTTAATCTCAGAATTGTGGATCTTAATGTAGATGGGCCCCATGAAGGCAGAGAAGTGGAGCACTCAGCTTTACTGACAGAGATGTGAGATGTTTGGGAGAAACAGGAACACATTGGTGGAAAATGATGGAATTTGGTGAATTTTTACGTCCCTGGTGATGCTATTTAATTAATGGAAGAGCAGAAGGTGATTAAAACAAGAGAGCTAGTTTAGTCTCTAAAACAGACATGGCTATGGCTTGATGCTAACATGTTTGTTAGCTGTCAGAATTCTGACATATAAAACTGAAATAATATTTAAAAATCAGTTAACTTTTTTTATTCAGTGGCCCTAATCCTGTTCCGTAGATGCAGCTCTTAAATGTATCACAGTTAAATGGTTGAAGTTCGACAAAATGCGGATTGGAAAGGTTTGGAAATTCACCATATGGAACTTATCGTCTGACGCTTCAAAAAGATATTGGTTAATAGTTGGAAACCGGTCATGATTGAAACTAATGCAGTAAAAATAAAAATATTCTCTTTTATATTTTATACTTCTCCATTATCTTTATTTATATGTTTTTATTTATTTATTCTTATTTAACTCATTTATCTCCGTTTGTCTTGCTTATTAATTTATCAACTATATCTATATTTGTTATGTTACTCATGATTAATCATGTAACCTTCTTTACTCGTAATTTTACCCGATGCTTTATACTTTCAAAGTTGTTTTAAGTTTATTGTAAGTGAAAAACAGCAGAATAAATGTAGGCTTGTATGTTTATGTCTATGTAAGCTGCAAAAATTGAAATAAAAACTAAGTAAAAAGAAATAACTCTAATTGGTGGGAAAAAAGTAAAAAATACATAAATATGGCTGCTGTGGTAAAGTTACAGAGGTTTGTTCCAGATAAAATGAGCAAAGTGTAGAAATACTTTGTCATCCATCTTATTTCTATTCATCCATAATTCCCCGTCTGGATGACGAGAATCCAGCCTGTTATTCCTAATCAATGACTGTTACAATCCTGAGAGTAAAGAGAAAAGTAATAATCAATGGACAGAAATGTGCAGAGAGTCTTAGGAAGAGGTACGTTTGGATGGCAAGAGGCAGTAGAAAGAAACCTGAATGCAAGAAAGAATCTAAGGACCCTTTGGAGAGCACAGAGGAAATGAGGCAGAGCGAAAACGAAGAGCCACGCCAAAAGCAGGGGAGGAACCAGCAGAAAAGGCATATCGAGAAAAGGAAAAATAATTGTTACTGCATGAGGGGAAACTCTGCAAGAGCGTAAAAGAAATGCATGCTTGGAAGAAAAAGGGGAAGGTGGGTGGGTCGGGGTGGGGGGGTGAATGACTGATGTAAAGATGAAAACTTGACAAAGAACTGGCCCTGTTGTTTCTGGCTCCGGTAGAAAGCCGCACGAAGAAAAGTCCTGTCTGCTGGGGCTGTTGGGAAGGGGGAATATGAGAAACACATTTTCCAGCAGACCCCCACCCAGCTCAAATATCAGCCCTCTCCCCCCTGTGCCTCTTCACAGCAACTGGTATTTGTGTACTTGTGAGAGTGAGCCTAAATATCCAGGCCTTCCAGGACCTTCAGATCCATGAATCAAGAGATACGGTTAACTGTTTGAAAGTCACCTTGGCACGCAGGCTGTGACACGGTGACGCTGAGCGGCGAGCTGCTGGAGACCACGGGAGGAAGAGTTGGATCCGGCGGGAGATGTGCGAGGAGCGGGCGGAGCGTGGGCGCGAATCACCGGCCTGCCAGCGGTCACTGAGTTTTTAGGTTGTCCTGAACTGAAACACAGAAGAAGAGAACCTCATATAGCAGGACCAACTTTCACCCTTTTTTTTATTTCTTCCTCCATCTACATTCAGTGACACTCATTACTGCACACACCCTGTTAACTAATCCGGTATGATTCAACCGGTAAAGATGGAAACCAATCAGCTGGAAGCTGGTCGTTAAAATGAAAACCAGAACTAACACTGTTGGAACACGTCTTGGTCAACAGCCCTCTTTAGGTGTCCCTACAGATTTCCTGTCCAAATTTAGATCTGGACTCTCAGACTAGTTTTGTTTTAACCCTCATGAAATTCTTACTGTTTTCCAGATGTATTTTCTCAGCCTGAGAATGGAAAATAAAGTCCTTCTTCATCTTCAGCGTTCATATTATCTTCAAAATGCAGCAAAATCTCTGCTGACTTCCACCTTTGTACATTTGCTTTGTTTCCTAAGAGCCATCAGGTGCTTCATGTTTGTACCTGAGGTGCTGTATCCAGGAAGAGTCCACAGGTGGAGGAAGCGGGGTGGTGAAGGTAGAAGTTGAGATCTCTCCGATGACGGTGAGCGCCTCCTTCAGGGCAGAGTGTTTACGGAGCACCTCCTCACGGCGTTGCCTCTGCTCCGGCGCCTCATCCATCAGAGCCGAGCATTCCCCCAAAGCGTAGAGCTGCGGCAGGAGCTCCGAGCTAATGAACTCCTTCACCTACACGAAGGACGGACACTGATGAGCTTCTCTGAGGAGCAAAACCCTCCAGGAAGCTTCTGGCTTTTCATTCTGACACTTTACCTGCTTTATTTTTCCCTGTTTATTTTTCACTTAATTCATTTACATATGATTTTATTTAAAGGAAAAGTCGGTCCGCAAGGAATAATCAATGGATCATTATTTATACCTAAAACTAATACGTTTGCAGTGATTTAATTCATTTAGCATGAATCAGTAAAAAATAAATGAAAATAATAATTTTCGTCGCAATCGCTGAGTCTGGGAGCGGCCATTTTTGCCCAAATATAGTAGCCCCTCCCTCCCGCCATCTTCCAGCAGTGACGTCACGGTGCGGTAAGCCTAGCGCCATTCTCCCCGCTTTACAAGCAAAATCAATGGGAACTACTAGACACATCTGCAATCAACAACAATTATTGAAGATTTCCAGAGGACTTCACCATTGAAATTCACCAGAGCTATAGTGAAACTGACAATGCCCACGTGCATGCATACATCGGGGAAAAGTGAAAAAAAAAGAGTTATTCCACCTTTCTGATTCCTGATCCTCCACGGACGGGTTGGTCGTTGGATTGCCAACTTGAAGAGGGAGGATTTGCCATCGAACTTTTGGCCAGAGGAAAATATGCTGGTGAAGACTCTCATTCATTTAAGTCACAGTCATTCCAAAAATGATAAAAAAACATTCAACTGGACTTTGTTTCCAAGTTTGAAGACGTTTCTCTTCCCATCCAGGAAGGTTTTTCAATTCAAAATGTCAGAAACAGGGTTGAGTTCCAGGCTTTTTAGACTGGACTAAAGAAAAGCCTTGTTTTGGCTTAAAAAACATGCAAATTAAACCTGATGAACGGGTCCACACTTTAGGAATGGAGGTCATTTTGTTTCTTTGTTAGCCTGTAATACCCAAAACCTGTCTATGTCTCTGAAAGGGGTTCGTTAAAGGGAATTGTTGGCCTGGCTGAAGAGGCGAGGTCTTCTGTTCCCCTGTAAAGGGGTTGGGGTAGTGATGATGGTGGGAAGGAATCAACTCTATTGCTGAGTTGTAGGTTTTTGAAAGCTGAAATCTGAGTCCTGCCCTTCTGTTTAAGGTTGGTTTTTCTTTCTTAAACAGAGGGGCTGGAATTTGAATTGAAAAAGCTTCCTGGATGGGAAGTGAAATGTCTTCAAACTTGGAAATAAAGTGGATTGATTTCTTTCACTTTTTTGGAATGACCAGAGAAAAAACCCGTAATATGTAGCCAACATTTGGAAGAAGAATGTTTTCAAGGTGACTTGGATAACAGCGCGTTGTGACAAACACCAGATACAGCACTGGGACTTGATCAACAGCCGATACCGCACCGTGACGTCACTAACCAGTAGGTGGCAGTAGTGTTCTTTGACAAACATGGATGCCTCCAGTAAAGCACATTCACATGATAATTACTCTGAATTAAAAACACTGATCATTTATTGAACAGGATGGAATCATTTCAGATTTAAAGAACTTTCAGAAGTTTGAATTCTAACTATAACCGGACTTTTCCTTTAGAGACAGAATTCATCACCGTTTAATACAAAAAAGAAAGCGTTCGAGAAACAAAACCAGAAGACTTAAATAAAACCACACAGTTCAGTCTAAATAACCTACATTATTGATCATCAGGTGCATGATGGTCTTTGGCATAAGATCCCTCATGGTCTTATAGATGATGCTCATGTAGGAGTCAACCAGGTTACGGATGGTCTCCACCTGCCTCTCCAGCTGAGGATCTGTACTTTCCTGCTCATTTACCTGTAGAACAGACAGATAAACCAAGACACAACTGAGATGGTACGTAACAGAGAGAAAGAAGACATTTTTAATGGGTAGCAGTCAGTATAGTGGCACAATGCTGCAGGGACGGTAATACTCATTAAAATTAAATGCAAGGCAAAACAGTCAAAGAAAAAGAATCACATCAACTAGAAAAGAACAGAAGACTGGAATGAAGGATACATAAAAGATGGGGGGGAGAAAAGTTGAACAAGTAAGGGATGGGGAGCTGCTGATTAGAAACAGACTGGAACACACACACGTATTGCAGTGACATCACTGACCAAGAATGCGGGCTAAAGAGCCAACGACAGAGCGGGATGGAAGGGGTGGAGGGCTCACTTTTTCACTTTGGTGAAGGGTGGGAGAGAAGGGGGAGCACGGAGAGAGAGGGTTATGGGGTTAGTCCTTGGGTTTAAGGTTAGCGAAGGCAATGAGTGCACGTTACGTGCAGGTGGTGCCCCGTGCGTCAGAGGTCAGGCTTTGATTTATTCAGGCTAATTCAGGGGGTTGAAGTACTGACGGCGATTTTCTCAGGGTAGACTCCAGCGCGCAGCAGAGATGCCTTCCAGCTGTCCAGCTCCTCCTGAGAGTTACAGGCCAACTCCAAGCATCTGTAGCCCTTGTACACGTTTCTGCAATTCATTACAAAAAAGTTAGAGAAGAAATATTTCAAAATCCGAAACTTAATAGATTTAATTATAGTGTGAATTTTTCAGCCTTCTTCACGGCAACGCCCCTAAATAAACTGCTACCCAACCTTTTACTTTACCTGCTAAGTAAGTAGAGTCTACCTGTGTTATCTATTCTGTAAACAAAACTGCTGTGTGAAGGCCTCAGTGGTTTGATCTGAGAAATCTAATCTAAAGCATAAAAACAGCAGTCAGGGCCTCTATTAGTTTCACACAAATCTGCCTTTTTAAACTTAAAAGTTGAAAGCAGGTCAATAAGATGCTGCTTCTCTGTTTATAACAAACATATGTGGGAGGGGGTGCTCTGTTCAAATGAGACCAAAAATAACAATAATATTAATTGAACTTTATTGATCTCACATTGGAGAAATTTACCTCTGCATTTAAAGGAGAATTCCGGTTTTTAACACTTTTAGCCCATTTTCTGTAGTGTCCAGGATGAAATCGAATGATCGACACCAAAATTGTGACAATTGGTCCTGTCTCTGCTTTTTGGCTCATTTAGAATCCCCCCCTGGCTGCTTCATAATGGCTTCCATAGTGCATGTCCGATAATGTCCTTAAAACAACCTTAAACATTCTTTTTTTTAAATATGCTACTCACCGGGTCGTCAGCGCTGTTCAATGACGTTCCCAAAAAAGTTTCGTGAAGAAAAAACGTTCCTGTAGTGTTTTATTTAGCATTTTGTGAATCCCATTGAGTTCTGTTGGAATAGTCAATATTCCCCTGCCACCGGAAATGGGGCCTGTTTACACAGTTGTAGTCTTTTCGCTTCACTCTGTGTACTCCGACGTCGAGGTGCTAACGTCTCTGTTAAACACTTTAAAAAACTCTGAAAATGGAATACGAAAGGTGGATTCTTGATTCTCGACGTCGGAGTACACAGAGTGAAGCGAAAAGGCTACAACTGTGTAAACAGGCCCCATTTCCGTTTCCGGTGGCAGGGGAATATTGACTATTCCAACAGAACTCAATGGGATTTAAAAAATGCTAAATAAAACACTACAGGAACGTTTTTTCTTTACGAAACTTTTTTTGGAACGTCATTGAACAGCGCTGACGACCCGGTGAGTAGCATATTTTAAAAAAAGAACGTTTAAGGTTGTTTTAAGGACATTATCGGACATGGACTATGGAAGCCATTCTGAAGCAGCCAGGGGGGGATTCTAAATGAGCCAAAAAGCAGAGACAGGACCAATTGTCAAAATTTTGGTGTCGATCATTCGATTTCATCCTGGACACTACAGAAAATGGGCTAAAAGTGTTAAAAACCGGAATTCTCCTTTAACCAGTGGGGGGGTTTACCTTCAGGCAATACTAGGCAGTTGCCTAGGGCCCCAATTTCCTTCAGGCCCCATAAAACTCTGTGTACATGTATGGTTAATACAACTATTCCTTATTTGTCCACATTAATTAAACATCCCTTCGCTAAAATGCCATCAGAACGCTGATAATATTGTGTCTCAGCACACTTAATATTAGAGAACTCTGCTCTCCAGAGCAAGTAGATTGGTAACCCCGCCTCCTGCTCTCCTCTATCTTGTCTGCTGTCATGATTCATTCAGCTATTATTTCATCCAAATGAACAATGGAGAACAGATAAGCAGATCATGGCTTGTCTACAGTGAAAAGAAGGACTGGGTTATTTACTTTGGCCTTTTTGGAAACACAGGAAGGAGCAATCAGCTAAGTGAGCTTAGTGCTTGGAAAAAATCTTTCATTCCTTTAGAGACAGCATGAAAAGTCAGCTGAGTACAAAACATAGAGAGGAAAACAAGAAGAAAAGGGACAAGAAGAGAGGGACACAACCTAGAACAGATAATGGATGTCTATTCTATTAACATTTCTCTATCTGGAGAATGGGGCTGTTTGATGTGTTGTCTTCTCTATTCAGACGGACTCCTGCCTGTCTTTGCCTAGGGCCCCACATTTCCTAAATCCGCCTCTGCATTAACCCATCCCCTTGGGGAGCAGTGGGCTGCCGTTGTGCGGCCTAGTGGTGCCCTAACCACTAGGCCACCACTCCCCATCAAAATGGACCTCTTTACCCAATAAGCAATAATTATGTCCAGCAGAAAACCCATGATGCACTTAATAATAATAATAATCGCACCATCCCCATGGTGGAACACGGAGGTAGCAGGTTCATGATGATAGACGACGATCAGGAAGAGAGAAGCTGGTCAGATTGGAAGGAAACTCAGGACGATAACGTCTGTCCATCAGAGGTTCTTCTTCCTGCTGGATAACAACCAACAGATTCAGGCGGAGCAAAAATAGACGGATTGGGGATTTTCATGTGTTAAAATAGTTCAGGCTTAAATCCAGTAAGAAATCTTTGTTAAGGTTTGAAGATTAGTCTTTACAAGTGTTCCCCGTTTACTTCAACTGAATTTGAGCTGTTTGCAGAGAAGAACCAGAGACTTCATTGTTTTTACACATGCAAACCCTTTAGAGACATACCCCTAAAGACTAACTGAAGTTGATTAATTGATTCAAAGGGGCTGAATGCCTAAAAGGCGATTTTAATTTGCCAAAAAAACAAAATAGTTTTCTATGCTAATAGGCTTTCATAATTTCAGCCATTAGAATCTGTTTAAACCAATAAGTTAGAAAAAGCATCAATGAGCCATGAGAAAAATACATAACAAGGTTTGCAACCAAGCTAATTTTCAGTGTGAGCACTTATTAGGGCCAGGTATGTCTGCCCTGCATACTTTTTAAATGATCGGGTTCACTATGATTACCGCAGCATGATTGTTTTGAGTGAGCCAGATCTGGCTCAGCTTTAATTTGGGAACCACAGAGGGAGCAGTTTCTGGTGGAAAAAATGAAATAAATCAAATATCTGTGGTTTGGCTGGATTCAGCAGAATTACATGAAACATCCTCTAAAATCCAATCAAATATAAGGAGAAATAAGAAAAGAACCATGAGGATTTTACAGAATCCATGTCTGAACAAACCAGGCTTGGATCAGGATCTGATTCCTGAGTAAAATGATCCGTTTTACAACATCAACTCTAGATGTTGCTTCTATTCAAGAGAGAAAAGACATGTTGTTGTTGCAAAGGCTAAAATAATTGAACAAGGGCTGCACTAACGATTATTTTGTAAATTGATTAATCTGTTGATTATTTTTTCAATTAATCATCAGATAGCCAAACGTTCCTTAAAGAAGATTTTTTACTAAATTAAATAAGGTGAAACTAAAACTTTTTCACTTGAGCAGTTCTGGATAGAGCATACTGACAAACAAAAAAATGTTTAAATCTTATATGCAAAATATTTTTTTTTTTTTTTACAATTTTGGTATAATTACTGCTCTAAGTGGGTCGCTCTGTCACCTTAAGGCATGTTTTATGGTCTCTATACTCCAATTAACCATTATTTCAATATTTCATTATTATAATTAATTGTTTCAGCCCTAAATCAAACAATTTGATTGTTACAGGTATAATTATATTATCTATAGCATTTTTTATTGCTATTTTGATTCTGATAAATAGACTATAGGAAAAAATGACTAAATATTCCCAACATATTAGTGCAGTTTTAAATAGCTTTGGTTATTTAGTCGGGCTAATTGTGTGGGACCTCGCCAGCCAGAAAACAGGAAGTAAGGCAATAAAGGCCAAACACTTAGAAATAAATAGTTATTAATATTCTATATTGTCCAACTTTACACCGTTATTTTCACCACATCTTTAGGCAGGGGCGGATTTAGGAAATTTGGGGCCCTAGGCAAAGACAGGCAGGGGGCCGTCTGAATTGAGAAGACAACACATAAAACAGCCCCATTCTCCAGATATAGAAATGTTTATAGAATAGACATCCATTATCTGTTCTAGGTTGTGTCCCTCTCTTCTTGTCCCTTTTCTTCTTGTTTTCCTCTCTATGTTTTGTACTCAGCTGACTTTTCATGCTGTCTCTAAAGGAATGAAAGATTTTTTCCAAGCACTAAGCTCACTTAGCTGATTGCTCCTTCCTGTGTTTCCAAAAAGGCCAAAGTAAATAACCCAGTCCTTCTTTTCACTGTAGACAAGCCATGATCTGCTTATCTGTTCTCCATTTTTCATTTGGATGAAATAATAGCTGCATGAATCATGACAGCAGACAAGATAGAGGAGAGCAGGAGGCGGGGTTACCAATCTACTCGCTCTGGAGAGCAGAGTTCGCTGCTTTTAGATGTTGTCTCCAAAGTCTCCAGTAGCAGAAAAAAGTCTCTAGATTTGGCGCTAGGAGCTTTTTTGAAAAGTGGCTAAATATAGCGACTAAAGCGCTAAGTTGGCAACACTGCTCTTTGCATGGTTTGTTTTCAAATGGTTTGCTGCTGTCTGTTTGGACCTTTCTGAACATGTGCAGCAAATGGACTGATCCAATATGGTGGACACTGAAGGGGGGAGCTGAGACACACTTAATATTATCAGCGTTCTGATGGCATTTTAGCTAAAGGATTTTTATCAAAAACATAATTTATGTGCATAAATAGGTAATATTTGTATTAACCATACAGGTAAACAGAGTTTTATGGGCCCCCCAGGAACTTGGGGCCCTAGGCAGCTGCTTAGTATTGCCTAATGGTAAATGCGCCCCTGAGTTTAAGGGGCACTGATGCTACTGGATGCTTGCTGAATAAATATAAACAAAAGAAGGACTTGGTTTAAAGGCTAAAAAGATTATAAATCTGTTCTGTAGGAGGGTCAGGCAGCTCTCCTGCATCATGTGCATCATGACTGATGTCATCTGGAGATATTTCCAAACACCTACTTTTCTCTTTAAAATCTCTGAAGCTAGAGCGTAGGAGCCTTCTTACAACCACTTTTCAGGAAAACTGCACCACTCTCCCTCCTTCTGTGGCGCCTCATTATAAAGACTTTAAGCCGTGGGAATGGTATCATGTAAACACTGAGGCCTTGGTATACCTCAATATCAGCTAAAGGGCCTTAATGGAAACATTGGGGGATTCATTCATCTCAAACCAAATCAAGTACTTGACAACCTTTGCTGCGATTACCGTCATACACCTTCGCACTCGCAAAGCTTTACTTTGCTATTAGATATCACACCCACTGTAGTCCACATTGCCGTCTCTGTGGAAACAGCACAGGAAAGTAAGGCGCTGGAGCGGGCTGTGGCCCATCTGTTGAACATTTTTCTTTAATCGCTCAGTTGTTTTGTTGTTCCCTTTTCACATTCGGATCATGCAGCAATTAACCTCAAATATGCGAAACCTTGGTGTAAAAACATGGGAAATAAAGAGGAAACACTGGGAAGGCTGAATAAAGAGAGTTCTATAGGAAATGGGCTTTCAGTTTGTGGGCTTATAACGGGTCTACGATGGTTGAGACTAATAAGTCAGGGCGTGGCGGCGAACGGACAGGGAGTTAGGCCAAACACCACAATACTAGAGGTGCTATTACGCTATAATAAAGACACCAACATCTGTGCACACCAGTGAGCACACGCTATAAATGTTCTCTAGTCTGATTTATCACATACATCTTGATTTTCACTCTTGTTTTCGTTGCAAGTTTTGGTAGTTTTTTTTTTGTGTTTTCCCCCCCCACTCTTCTTTGGGAATTTCTGCAGAGCCACAACCGCCTGAGATTTGAAGTTTCCTGAGGTTTTTGATTACTGTCAAGCAGGGACAAAGCAACAGCTATGTCTGCACCCCTTCACACACAAACTCAGAAAGAGAAACAGAGACCATAAGGGCTCAGAGAGAGTGCTGGGGGGGGAGCGGGGAAGGAGGGGGCGCCACAGGACAGAGTCTGACACATTCCTGGCTGATGGCTCTGATATTCTCTCTCTCCCGCCTTCTTTCTTCTCTCTGCTCCTCCAATTCTTCTCTCTCCCTCCTTTTTGTGGTGAGTCGAGCAATTCTTTCCAAACATGAGCAGCCTCATCTCTGATCCAAGCTCTCTGGCTTTGATTAGCTGCTTAATGAGCCTGCCGTCGGTATGCTGCGGTCCACAGGCGCGCTCTTAGCAGAGACGCATACACAACGGCACAAACGGCTGCAGGCACCTTCAAACCCCTGGTTTTGTGTCCTAATCCAGCACAGAGCAGAATTACAAACAAAGCCCATATGCTTTGGTACAATCAGTCAGGCTTTGGGTCAGCTCCAGCTCCTAAACACTGTTTATTTCTCAACTGGTTCTGTTTCACACACATAAACTCTGCCCTCAGCAGCCTGGGACCGATTCCAGTACCCAACGTTTGAGTCCAAAGCTGAATGAGAGAGGGTTAGTGGAAGGGCACATTATTGCACTAACATCCCTTCCTCTTCTTTCGTGGACACTGTCCACCCTCATAAAATATCACCCAAAAAAACTTGAGCACCCAGGTGACAAGAGCAGCACTCCCATTTCTGACTCAGACGCTGACTCATCCCCATGCATGCAAGCGCCCACACTAACCTTAACTCCGTGTTGAAGATAGCAAAAACAAATTTGCTGGACATGAAGCCCTTTCCCACATCTTTGAGCTTTAAGTTTTCCAGGGGAAGCATGTACTTCTTCTCCTTCTCCTGGAAAAGAGAGCGCACAGAGATAAAATTTGACAGAGGCACGCAGAGTAAAATATGACATCACAAAAAAGGCAACATTAGTGTTGATAGCAAGAAACAACAGAGACTGAACGCGGTTCATTTAGGGGCCAAAGATAAAAAGTTGTCTGGTAGTAAATATACCCTCCCGCCTTAAAGACTGGAGGGCAAGGAGAGGAGAGGAGTAGTGGCAGACTACTGTATTAGTAGAGCAATCTAAAAGGTGCGGCACACATTTATATTTAGGCCCTTTTAATTATAATATCCCAAAATAAAATCCAGAGCAACACCTTTAGAAGTCACCTAGTTACTAAACCACCTTATAATTTAATCTTAGTGTAAATTTAGCTGTTCAGTATAGGCCTTGGAGGTTTATGACAACATCAGTAAACATACAGTATTGTAAAAACCAAGGATCATGTTAAGAGAGAAGGGATCACCATTAGTTTAAATTAATGTTTAGATGTTAAACAATATCCAGAGCTTGGAACACCTAAAGCCGGGCGTACACTGTATGATTTTTTGCCCTTTTCAGGCCGATATTTTCAAGTCGTGCAAGAATTTTTTTGAGGGGGCTGACTTTCAGCCTGATGGTGAGTGGTGTAGTGCAGGGGTCCCCAACCACCGGGCCTCGGACCGGTACCGGTCCTTTGGTCATTTGGTACCGGGCCACACAGAAAAAAGTATATATATATATAATTTATCGACGAGTCTGAGTGATGTTTTATTTTGAAAAATATTTTTAAAAATGCGTTATTCTCTCCCAATTCCATCAGACGGTGCATCTGTGCCTCTTGACACAGGTTAATTCAGTTCAAGAGTCATCCTATCTATAACATCCTATCTTTGTGAAGCGGGATTTTCTGCGGTTACAGCGACCAAAACAAAGCTACGGAGCAGACTGGACATCAGGAGCACACTTCATGTGTCATTGTCTCCGATTACGCCCAGATGGGACCGGCTTGTTGTTTTATTTTTATGCTGTTTGTATTTTATTTTATGCCAGTCGTATCATTTTAACCCCAAACCCCCAACCCCCCCCCCCCACCAGGCCGGTGAAAATATTGTTTGACATATAGCGGTCTGTGGTGCAAAAAAGGTTGGGGACCGCTGGTGTAGTGTACAATGGGTAACGAGGGGAGATCAGCCTCTAACGACCACCTCCCCCTCAGGAATAGTAAGGTCGGGAGAAAATCAAACATGTTTGAAATTCAGTCAGCTGTCATAAGGTGGTCGTGGGTAAATCTCTCAGTGGGAAAACAAGGATTCTTCTTCTTCTTCTTCCTCTCAGACGGAAACGCAGAAGCATGGCGGGGGTGCAATGAGTGAAATGGAGTTCTTTCTGTAAAATTGACAGACCGTAGTAGAGCCACGTTTGTCTTTTTCCAAATAAGTCGTCGTCGTTTCTTTTTAGGGCTTTCAGCACAAAATTGCACAAATTGCCAAAGCAGCTCGTTTCACTCTAGTGAGCTTCATATTCCTCTTCTACTAGTTTGGCTTCTGGATAGACGAGTCCGAGTAGTGCCATCTCACTGCGGAGCAAAGTCCCACCTGGTTTTTAGACGTTCAGTCTGAGCAGGTAGATCGCATCAGTGCGTCGGGTCACACAGTGTGAGAACAAACATCGTGAGCTGGGAACCTTTAAACCCTGCGGTTTGGTCGTACAGTGTGAGCTTTAGCTGCGTGCAACGATTGAGAAATTTGTAGTGTATGCCCGGCTTTAATGAGCAGTCTAAGCTATTCTTCAAACACGACAGAAATGAGACAAACAGCCAGACTGGAGCAGCTGCAGATATACACAGCTCAGGTGGAAGGAACCTCTGTTAATCTATCAAAACTGGTCTTTAAAGATGAGCTTTAAGATTCAACTCAAAGTTAAAAAGAAACCTGGAGGAGAACAAAAGGAAGGAAGTTGCTCTGATCAGCTGAAATCAGGATGGATCTGGTCGGCCGACGTGGAAAAAAGTCGGATAGAAAAACCAACACTTTGCATCAACCCTAACACATGATTCCCTCCTACATAAAACAAGATGGGGACAGTATCATGCTGTGGGCTTTCATGGAAAAAAAGAGATTTCCTCCAAAAGCTCTTTAGCTATTATTCTCAAGTGATTTTTACAAAGTTTTGACTTTTTGGAGACTGAAAACAAATAGATGCCAGACCTTTAAAGACTTGAAACACTTTGTAATTTTAGTATCTTTTTCAGTCCAAACTACTGCATGTTGGCCGATATCATAGTATTTCAGTTAACATTACATTTATTGTTTCTTTAATGACAGAAGGTAAAAAAGAGTCATAAACACTTTTATGATGTGCCTTTAGTCACTCTTAGGTAAAGACGAGACAACAGAGACACCAAAGAAGAAAAGCAAAGCGATACTAATAAGATTAGGAGACCCTGAGTGAAGGAAGAAATAGCTGAAGGAGTTGAGAAGTTGGTGTGAGGAGAACCAGACGGGATGGAGGCAGGGAATGATGTAGAAGTGAAGTGGGGCGGGAGGCAATGAGGGGAGTACAAAAAAAAACAAGAAAGATGCCGGGCCCACATGTGAAAGTCATTAATCAGGACTAAAGCTCTAACACAACATTTCTCCTGAAATGCAGCCCTTCCCCCTCATCTTTCTTCCCCAGCCGTCTGACTAACCTTGGAGAAAAGGCCTTCCAGATAGAGCAGTCATAGGAACAACCACGGCTTGTAAAGAAAACGACGGCATCAACAGAAAGTCTCAGAAAATCTGCTAACATTTCTGGGTGTTCTGTGAGTAAAGATGTGCAAATGTGTGAAATGAGAAATGACACTACATTTAGGTCTTCCCTTTCTGAGTGCTCCCCTGAACCCTATGACTCTCTTCCTTTTCTCCCCTTTCCTTTTTTTTCCCAAAGAGGCCCACTTCCTGTAACAGACATTGCGACGCGATTGGCGCTCGTACAGCAACATCTGGGATCGCTTTAGGGAGAGGGGAGGGGTTTGGAGCGAGTATAGGGTGTTCTAATGGGGCTGAAGTTGAAAGTATAGATGTAAAAAGAGAGGAGGGTGAAAGGATCGGGGATGACTGAGTGATAGAGGGAAGTAGGTCTTACACCAGTAGACAGGGAAACTTTGAGGAACATGGAAAGCTGGGGAGGCAGTAGAGAAGAAATGGCGAGAAAATCCAGACCACTGCAAAGTTGAATCCCCATGGGTTCCATCAACCCATATATGGCTGCTAAGTTCCTCCCTTACTCTCTCTCCTTCTCTCACTCCCCTTATTTCCTTATGCCTTCCCAGAGTGAACAGGCAGATCTCTGACTGAATGAGCGAATGTGCCACGTCAAGACTGGATACTAAGCTGGGACACGGTCCTACGGACAAGCGGCCCGACAACCACTAACATCTGTGCGGGATAGACGCCTAAAGGAGTGGATGTCTGAAACACATGAAGACCTCTTGCCCCTTCAAGCTGACATCCAGACCGGAGAACTGGGGGGAACAAAAAAAATAAGAGAGGAAACTTTTCTCCAAGCCATCCTCAGCTTCTGGCGGGACAGCTAGCAGACGACACTGATGGAGGAGGCGAGGCCGGGATAGAGAATGAGCTCCTGCTCCGTCATCCCAGTGTTCAGACTACCTGTTCAGGATCTTTCTGGTGTACAGTAGTCTGCACATTGGTTAGACTGTGCATGGAAGAGCATCAGCAGCTTAGAGATGAGCAGCAAGGACAACATGACAGCTAGCATGTAGTCTTTGCTTAATGTCTATGACTGTCTGGTTTCTTGCTTTAATCTCTGTCATTCTTTTTAACAGGGTGTTGAATTTTTTATTTTTTTTTTAAACATAATCAAGTCAATATCAAGAACCAATCTGAATTTTGTAGATTTTGCGTCTTGTCTCTTAAAGTTGAGCAATGTTTAGGAGAGCGGTATTACAAAAATAACTGTCTTAAAGTGACCACTGTTGGGATCATTTCTCAGTATTAAAAGTAAACTTTTTGTATCAAGGCTATAAACTATATTCTTTTTCAGTTTTTTTTTTTAATAGCTTTTTGCTTTAGTCTCTGCATGTGCATCTGGATTGCAACAAAACAGCTTTTTCATGCAGAAATGTACATTTTATTAGTGCATGCATGTGTGTAAGTCATGTCCAGTAGCATAAGAGTGGGTGAGAAGCATTGTGCATCAGAGCTCTGGTGTTTGGAGCTGTCTGCTCCTCTTCCTTGAAACTAATAGATGGGTGATATGGAACAGGCCTCTCACAACTAACACTCACACACACTCACACACAAAGGAGTACATCTAGATTGATTGTATATAGGTTTGAGACGTCTGTTTTTCTTCAGGAGATGCCTGGTGGAGCCCTGGCAGTCGAAAGGCGGCAGAAATGTGTGTCTGCTCAGCGTGCTGTTGAGTTTAAACTCTGAGCTATTATTCTAGACCCTCGGCATTAAGGTCGAAGCAGGGAACAAAATGCATAGAACGCAAATGCAATTCACAGCTGGATTTGTTAAGCTTGGACACTTGTGGTGAAATGACCCAATAATGGTTAGTGGAAAATGGTAAGGGAGAATGGAGATGGAGTATTTGCTGTGGAGTGGGAGGGGTGGGGGGGTTCTGCAGTATAGAAACGGCCATGTGGGATTTCTCTGGGCAGATCTTGGACGCTGGTGTTTGGACAAAGCTTCAGATTTTCCAGCTAGGAATGTGCACAGTCCCAGAGAGACTGCCAACCACAGAGGTGGTGGAAGGGGGGGGGGGGGGGGGGGTGTTAGGGGTGGGCAGTGGGGTTGGGGGGGTTATAGAGCCAGACTAAGAGAGACAGAGGAGTGAAAAAGGCAACAGGGGCACAAAAGTGAAATGAAGAGAACCAGCATCCAAATAAAAGAGCGAGGTCTGTGGAGGTGGAGTGGGTGGCAGAGTTAGGAAGGCGGAAACAGAGTGAGAGAAGAAGCAGAAGTTTGATTTGTGCGACTCCGTATGTGTGTGCGACTGAGTGTGAGTCTCACACAAAGGCCGCAGATCCCATCTACTGTGATAACACGCGTGACTGAGAATGTAATCAGGCCTTCCAAACACAAACAGCTGAAAAACCTCAGAGCAGGGAGGGGATGCAGGCATTGACCAATAAATGGCCCGGCTGAGCGCCAAAAGCCATTCATGCTACTAAAATGTAGCTGGTAGGTGTTGGGATGTGTAAGCATCAGGACGTTGTTGCTCATATGTGACCAAAGGGGAATTGGTGTGCTTGTCTTCATATCATTCCTTGCAGATGTTGATTTGTTAATGCTTAGTAAGGTCACACCAGCAGAGGCCACTTTTACGCCGTATGTGTACAAAATGCATGCCTGGGGCCGCGCCTGGAACACTGCGTTCAAGCAGTCTAGTGTTTATCTGAAAAGTGATCGTGTGTATGTCTGAGTGAGTGTATATTTTCCTCTGCTATTTGCATGCCACTTTGTTTACATCAGAGCCAGCATGTGCTCTGTATGCTGTGTATACAACTCAGACCACTCAGTGTTAGTGTGTGTGTGTCTTCGCTTGGCTTGGGGCAGATCCAGCTGTGTCAAAGTGAGCCGCTCCAAATGCCTGAACTCCCAGAAGAGGAAGAAAAGGGGGAGTGAGGGGGGGGGGTGCAAGGGGCGAGCGAGAGGAGGAGGAGGAAGTGGGTCCGTGAAATGAAAAGGAGAAATGGTGGGGGTCAACTGCAGGTCCAGGTGGACCTGGACTTAGCTGGACCGAGTGAAGAGCTTCAAGATGCTCTCTCTGTTTTTCCAAATATTACATTTACAGCTTTTCTATCAAGATAGGGTCAGTCTTATTTATCTTTGGTACATTTCTTTCCATCTTCAGGGTTTTCATCTGGAATCTGAATGTTTACGGTCCCTTTGCAAAAGCTGCTACGCCTTTTGCACATTTTCCAATCTGCATCCTAATACTCAGTCCATCCCTATTCCAGTGACATCAGCAGTGACCAAATGAGACTGTTGTGGTGTGTCTGCCTGTCTACACTTGCTGTGCAGACCTTCTGCTCCTGTACAGCAGGCACAGACAGGCAGACAGATGGCAGCCCCACTGACATCACCTTTCCTCAACCTGTGACCACTACAGTTGCCACTCTGTCTTGAAATACTGTTTCAAGGTGTGATAAGTTTTATTAAAATGTGGGTTAACCTGATGTATTGCTGTGTCTTGGTTTCAATATTTTGTATGAAATCTACGACCTACAAAAAATTTAACTTATTTAATCGACATTTAAGTATAAATATGAACATTAAGGTCTTACCTCTTCATCCTTGTACCAGGACAGGCTTTCTGTAGAGAGGATGAACCAAAACTCCTTTGCTCCGCCTCTCATTATGCCAATGTTACTGATGGTCAGCCAGCCCTTATGAATGACCTGCAAGAACAACCAACGAGGAGCTGAGATAACAAAATGGCAGCACATAGTGAAGGATTTGGTTTGGAGAGAGCTGTAAGATGAAGCACATACAGCAGGGAAAATAAGAATGTTTCTGGACTTTAACGTATTTCTAATCAATTTCTAAACTTAAAACTCACTCCAGATGTTGTAACAATAACTGATGCAGTAAACAAAATCAACAAAATATTAAATACATTTGTGTAAAGAAGTAGAACAATGCATAAAAAATAATAATCAGTGGGAAAAAAAATAGCTGAAATCTGTGATACTAAGAATTAATTCTGGCCTCATATCTATTATAAGTTCTACTTTAGTGCTTACAAAAATATTTCTCATGAATAACTTATCATGCAAGGAAAAAGACAAAAGCGAAGTCTTTGTTGCACAGAATACAAATAATACTCGTAACACGCATTTCCCAAAATTTTTGAATTTTTCATGCTGGATGGTTTTGGACCATAATCCAGAAGTGGATAAATCAGAATTTAATCATGAATTATTCACAACTAGAGGCTCCTACTCATTTTCTGACAGAAAAAAAGAATAATTACAATAACTGGCTGGTTAAAAAGTTCAATTAATTTAAATTCATTTAATTTATATAGCACCAATTGACAACACGTCAGTCAAATTGATTCAAAGTTTTCTATCTAAAACGACTCATTGACTCTTCAGCAATCCCTCACACTAAGCATGCTTGTAGCAACAGTGGAGAGGAAAAACTTCCTTTTAACAAGAACAAAAACCTCTAGCAGAACCAGGCTTAGTGTGATGTTACGGTTTTTAACCTTTAAAAGAGTAAGCATTTCACTGAACTGCAATGTTCTCTATGTAAAGTGGAAAACTAATGGACACCAGAGAACATGGAAAAGAGCTTCAACATCTGAACAGTTTGTGTTAAAAAAAAAGGCCAAAATCACACCTGAGAAATTCATGAGACTAGTTTCTGTATTGAAGAGGCATCCTGAAGTTGTCACCATCAAAACAGACTTTTTACTTGAATATACTATATAGTTCTGTAAATTTGTTCTAGAATATTCCAAAAAACTGGACTTTGCTTTCCAAGTTGGAAGACGTTTCGCTTCCCATCCAGGAAGCTTTTTCAATTAAAAATGTCATATTTAGCCCTGAGTTTGAAGCTTTATTCAGTTGCCCCAAAATTTGTTTTGGCTTAAAAAACATGCAAATTGAACCAGAAGAACAGGTCCGCCTCTTAGGACGCTTCGAACTCAACGCTAATTCTGACATTTTAAATTGAAAAACCTTCCAGGACTGAAAGCGTAACGTCTTCCAACTTGGAAACCAAGCCCAGTGGATTGTTTTTCTATTACTTTTTTGGAACAACTATCACCTGGATGACTGAGAATCTTCAACAGCATATTGTTCAATAATAATTTTTCTGTGCAAATTATTACACATTAACTAATGGTTAGACTAATTTATTCTTTTTTTGTGTGGATTGAGTTGTCCCGACATCAGGTCTGCCTTTTATCAGTGAATAAAGACAAAAATTTTCAATAATTATTCTCTCCACTGTAAAATGAAGGGAACAGGCCTTCCTGATAAGAAGAGAATAAACAGCAAAAATACTTGAGAGGAAAAAAGAAGTTTGTTAGAATTAAGAAGCTTTAAGATTAATAATTTTCCCATTGCATAAAACCTCAGATATTTTACCACCTGTTCAGCTTTACTAATCAAAGAAAACAAATGATAAACAGGTAAAGGCTTGGAAGGAAAGATAAAAATGAACCAGCTTGTCTGGAAAAAAAAAAAACAGGATGGAAGAGTCCAGTATGGGTGGCAGACAATGCACTACAGAGGAAAGATGTGCCCTGAATAAAAACAGAGGAAATAGGACATCATGCAACGATGTGACACATGTACATCCCGCAAATAGAAAAAAAAAAGTCAGAAAATCTGTACATCATTTGAAAATGAGAAAAGTTCAGCACATGCATATTGTTATGCTGAGGCGGAGTAGATGCTGTTACTGTGAGGAAAAAAGTAAAGAGGTCCAATGGAAGCAGCATGCAGACCCAAAACCTGAATCTGAAACACAATTCTTTAACAGAAGAAGCGGCAGTGAAGAAAAAAAAGAAAAAAGGCAAAAGAAAATGTTTCTCCTACTATTCGATTCGGGCGAAAAGCTGAACCCTGTAGAAAAACAAAAGATAAAGTTAAACCACCATTAGAATGAGGTCATCTTTTTTTTCATCTTCAGTGTTTTGGGGGATTTCCTGTTGATATGGATCCTTTTTACACGAGCTGCTGTGAAAGCTCTGTGCTAAATTGTGTAAGAGCATGATGTTCTTTTTTTTTTCTCCATTTGATTTTCTGTAGGCTGTGGTTACGATCTGCTGCTGTTGAGCAAATACTGTCAGCTTCGTCCTTAAGGTTCCTAACGCGAGGCAACAGAAATGTGTTTTCAATTATTGCTGCCTTTGGAATAAATGTGTTATCCATAAATCACAACACACTGAGACGAAAAAAGAAAAATGACTTGCTTCCTGGGAAAAGCCCAAAAAAACAATTATGGCTGCATTGCAGGACCCCAGATCCCTGCTCACATAAAACAAGCTTATTTGAAGCTACCACAGCAGAACAACTCCCACTGATGAAGAACGCATGACACAATGATATAAGACTTCTATTCAGTAGGGAAGAAAAGGTTTAATGCATCACTTTTATTACAATTAAACCATTTTATATCGCAGGAAAATGAACTTAGACGGCCTCTTTAAGGTAACTCGTTAAATCCATCAATTATTTTGGAAGAACACCAACATTTATGAACTAACAGGTTTAATTTCTGTGATAATAATGAAATAACAGGAAATGATGCATCTCTGATTAATCATTACCTGGTTCCTTGCATTCTGTCCTGAAGAGTTCATATTGCTTTGGTTGTTCCCCTGCTGGGAGCTGAGAGGAATGAAAACAGCAAATTTTTACTCCTCGTTTCAGTTTACATTTCATTATAATAGAAATGCAGTAACTCACTTAGTGAAACCAATAAAGTCTTCATGCTTGGTGTTTATGTAGGCGAGCTGGATGTCAATAAGCAACAAGACCTGAACAGAGCAGACATTAATCGGAGAAATGGGCCGTTATACACTTTGTTGTTTTAGATAAATGATCTCAAATATTTTTCGTTGCACTGTGTGAACGTGTGTGAGCAACCTGCTCTCTGCATTTATTTTCCTGCTCTCGGATTTCTGTGATAACAATCCTCTCCGTCTCTTCCCGTAATTGGGGGAAGGCGCTGAGCTGCGGGGAGAAAACAGAACGGAAATCACCAAGGAGACGGCTTCGACCACGCATTCATATACAGCAAATATATCTGACTCTAGATATGTACAACGCTTTCAAAAGTATTCACAGCCCTTTAACACTGCATCATCATTTATAACGTGTGTTCCAGGTTCCGTCCAATTTTTGTTTTCTTTCACACATAGTATCTCTATCTCTATAGTTATGCTGCTATAGGCTTAGACTTCTGGAGGACATAGGGACCCCTTTTTCATCAATCTATCTCTATTCTCCCACTCTGCAGAATCTGTTAGTTCAATCTCTAACGTTCTGCTCTCTCTGCTTTTTCTCATAGTAGCTTCATCTGGTCTGTTCCTGTTTGGCTGTGACTCCATCCTGGAGAGAAATATCAGCTGTGCTGCTGCCATCAACACCCTTGTTTATAGATGCTGGAGATCGGCCTGTTTTCCAGTGTAGTCCTGTTTCTCTGACTGTGACTAACTTGATGTGCTCTCTTCATCCTCTGACATGGGAGCTGGCTCGGAGCTCGTCTGCCTGGCTGTGTGTTTCCTGGACGGGGCCGCCTGTGGAGCTGGTTGACAGTTGCCTTTTGTATCTATGCTTCTTTTTCTATGTCTGCTTCTGTCTCCTTGAACCCCAGTGGGCCTCAGCAGATGGCCGCTAACACTGAGCCTGGTTCTGCTGGAGGTTTCTTCCTGTTCAAAGGGAGTTTTTCCTCTCCACTGTCGCTACAAGCATGCTTATTGTGAGGGATTGCTGAAGAGTCAATGAGTCGATGCAATCAGCTGATTTTCCTTAGATAGAAAACTTTGAATTAATCTGACTGGATGATCTGGTGAACTGGAAAGTGCCTTGAGATGATGTGTTGTTAATTGCCGCAATAGAAATAAACTGAATGAAACTGAATTAAAACTGGTGTCATCTGACCAGAGGGACTTTCTTTCAACTACGGCTTCAAAAGGCAGCGGTGTGTAGTAACTAGTTATATTTACTAAGTTATATTTAAGTTTATATTTATTTATGTTTTTAAGGGGTAGTTTTTCTGTATTGTAATATTTTATTTTACTTAATATGATGAGGTATCACTACTCTCCATCATGAGGAACTTCAGAACAGGCTTGTTTGTAAATGGAAATGCACCATAGAGACAAACCGCCACAGTTCATGTCTAAGAGAGATTTCTGTTTTTTTTACGCCAGCCTCTTTGATTTCATTTTTTTTTTCTATTTGCTGATCCTACGTGTTAGTTTGAGGTTAAGTGGAAACACAGCAAATAGCTGATTGTATCATGCTACAGGAAGTAAAGTACAATATTCACATAACATACTATGAATGATGACAGAGATTTCATAGGAAAAAATATCTTTTTATTCTGTCACCTGACATTTTTTAATTGCTGAATGTTTTATATATATATATATATATATATATATATATATATATATATATATATATATATATATATATATATATATATATATATATATATTTTATCTCATTTTCTAAATCTGCGAATAACTACAGTAGTAGCCATTCAAAATGTCCCCACTTTCCTTGATTGTCCCCTATAATTCCTTGTTAAACATCAATCTTTGTACTAAATTATTCTTTCTGTCAAAGGGAGTTTTTCCTCTCCACTGTCGCTACAAGCATGCTTAGTGTGAGGGATTGCTGAACAGTCAATGAGTCGATGCAATCAGCTGGTTTTCCTTAGATAGAAAACTTTGAATCAATCTGACTGGATGATCTGGTGAACTGGAAAGTGACCTGAGATGATATGATGTGAACTGGCGCTATAGAAATAAACTGAATTGAAAATTTTATCGAATGTACAGGGTGGCAAAATGGACACCCTGTTTGATAGAAATTTCAAATTTTTTAAATAATAATATAATTCCTTGTTAAACATCAATCTTTGTACTAAATTATTCTTCTGTCATGATTTGTGGACATTAAGATCTAAAGCGAAGCGTCATCTCCTGGTCAGACCCTGTAATTCATTGAAAGGTTGGAGTCAGAGTAAAAACATATGCAGGAGGGGGTCCCTGCAGTGGCTGGGAGTTGGAGGGGATTTTGCTGGGAGCGGCAGGGAAGTGGGCTGCTGTTTGACTTTGAACGGCCATTTTGAATGGCTGCTACTGTTTATGTTTGTAAATTGACATAATTTTTTAAACATTAACTCAGATGTTATGATCAGTTACACAGTATTTTAGTTACTTTTTTACTCTTTCTCGAGTAATTATCTGGAGTTACCTTCCCGCTATCGTCTCGATCCTCATCGCCATGCAGGGGAGCAAAACATCCTGCCTGGTTAGCCAGGCCAACAACAACGACTCCCCATTCCTAAGGGTTGGACCTGTTTTCTCTGTTAAATTTGCATATTTTCTAATCCATAACAAGGTTTTTGTTTGCGTCACTTTATAAGCCTGGAACTCAAACATTACTCCAGACATTTTAAATCGAGAAAGCTTCCTGAATGGAATGAGAAACGTCTTCGAACTGGAAAACAAAGTTCAGCTGTTTGTTTGTTTGTTTTTTTTACTTTTTTTAACCTTTACTTTATCTGACGAACTAGTTCTACTTTTAAGATCAGTTTTGGTACTCTACCCACCTCTGTAAAAAGGTCAGATTTCTGGATGGCTCTACTTATGTTTGTCTTGTCAACAGATTCTTCCTCCTTAGTTGTGAATCTCCACAGCTCCTTCAGAGTTACAACAAGCCTCTTTTCCTACTTTACTCTACCTGTTTGGAAGATCAGTTTAGGAGAACAGCTGGGACATTATATCGGTATGAAACCTTTTTATTCAACTCTACTTTAAAAGCTTTGCCTACCAAATGCATTTAGGTGCATCAGAGTGAAAGGGACAGCACACGTTTCCAACACCGTTCTCTGATTTTTTTGGGAGTCAACGGAGGAAGAACTAAATGGGCATGAATACCTTTGCTTAGTACTGGATTTCCATACCTTTTCAATGCACTGGTACACCGTCGTAATCAGTTCCTGATTGACCATGTCAATGAATTTGATACACGGCGCTTTAAGATTTGATATCTGTTTCTTTACAATGGCTTCAAACGCCATATCAGGCGTAAATAAGCCTGTCCTGTGGAGAAAAAAAACTAATTATATTTAGCAATAAAAACAAAAAATAAAAGAAGAAAAGGAGGCTGAAGGTCATGCTTTAAACTCTGTGCTTCACCTGACTCCGTGTATGTTTCGGATGGCATAGTTGATCTCCTGGCGGAGCTTTGTCTCATCAGACTCAATCTTGGCACAAGAGCCAATAAAGACATGACAGGAGAAGCGTTATAAGTCAACATTACAGCTACTGAAGGTCATAAAATAACACAACAGCTGTATTATTGTTAATCCATGCCTTTCAGCTAAAACAAACATACCATGACCAGTTCACTGGGGAAACGCTCGTGAAAGATTTTATTGATCCGAGCTCCTCCCGAGAGATTCACCATGTCTACTTTGTCACCAGAGCCTTCAATTAGCTTCTCAAAGTCAACAGCCAGGCGCTGAACTAACCTACACAGCAGGAAGGTACAGCTTTATTCACCCACATACACACACAGAAATCAAAAGTTAGCGCAAACAGAGAGCGACTGACTGTAGTAGGGTCTTGGTCCTGCGTGTTGCATCGTCTGGACTGAACTTTTTGTATTCTTCAGCTTCTTTATTCAAGGCCAGAAGTTGGCTGTGAAGATGGTTACGAAAGGCTGGCAATGCATCCCGGATGTGGTTTGTCAGTTGCTGCAAACAAAAGCCCTCAATGCTTGTTCATTATTATTATTAAAATCCTTTTTATTCATTTTAAACATGTAAGAACAACAATTAAACAGACAAAAACAAAATGGTAACAGCTGCTGACATCACATATTAGTAAGAAGGGAGGAGGGGAGAGGGAGGGATGGAGGCGGGGAGGGCTGGTGTGAGGGCTATATACTCAGGAGACGTCTGTCTCAAAATCCCAAAGAAATGGCTGCCAGATGGTATTGTATTGTTGAATTGAGTCGTTAACTGTGTGGTTCAGATGTTCAAGCTTCAGATGGAACATTGCTTATGAGACGAAGGAGCAGCTCTCTTCCAACTGCACAGTGGCGGCTGGTCAATAGAGGGCGCTGCCCCATCCACCCAATTACCCTGATTAAGACATATATTTTAAAAATACATATAGTTTAATTTAATTTCAAATTAAAATGTAAAATATTTCAAAATATATTGATATATATTTGTTAAATGTGCAAGATAAATATTTAATCTTTAATGAGGAGTGAAGCGTCATTTCATTCTTCGTCCGATTGGTGACGTATTCCTGCCCTGGGGCGCAAAAATCTTTTCCTATTTACTCATTAAAAGTTGTACATGTGCAGTAACTCCTCTGCAACAAAGAAGTATAGCAGAGCTCAGGTCGCAGCTAAGGCTAACGCTGCATCCTGCTTTCCCTGCCTCCATTTTTCAAAAGTCAGGATCTGAGCCAGCATGGATAAAGACAGCTAGGACTGATTTAAAGCACTTTTTAGGAAAGGCCAAGAAGAATGAACAATCTGGGATTCACAGGGAAAATAATATAGTCTACTTTTGTTTGTTAATTTGCATAGATGCTCTTAAATAAACACATTCTCAGAAAATAAATCGTTTTTACACGTTAATATATAAAGCTTCTCTTCTGGTACATTCTTTTTTAGGTTTGTGACACAATATTGGACCAGGCAAAACACAAATTGGCCTCACAAAGCCACAGAAGGACAACATTTATGTAGAAAAAGTACACCTGTACATAAAATTATGTTTTGTTTTGATCAAATATTTTTATAACTTATTTTTTTTTGTTGGCCATCATATAAATATACTGGTGTGAAAGCTTAGTAACTTAGTTTGATTGGTTTTTGGTATACCTCTATTTTTAATTTATCTTTGCTGCTCCAGCTGCGCGGTCGGAAAACTGGTCTGATGCGTGTTGGGCGGAGCTACTTTATCTTTTCTTTGCCTGTTACAATGGCAGCTATATTTTCTGTGATCAGAGGGTAAAAAGTAGTTTTAATATGTTTTTAGGTGAAAAGTTCCACCTGAAAACATCTGTGCAGTCAATTCATCAAGATTACTATCCTGCATTCAAATATTATGTTGCTGTCGCTCAGACCTCCACATACTGGCGGTGCTCTGTCAGTAGGAATCCCATTTATCAGCAGCCTCTGGCCCGGTCGCCTCTTCACGGTTTGCCGCGGCGGCTAGGAGGCGGTTTTCATGTACGTAATCCAAGCTACAGGCAACAGGATAATAAAAATGAACAAGTTTTGATTGCAGTTTTTGTCATTTTAAGTTAATTTAGGCGTTAATAAACTGTTTCAGAGGAGTGATCATAGCGCTCTGCATCAGCAGTGCTGTGTCTGTCTCCCTGCCAGCTCCCAGATAAGCTTCTCTGATTGGTTGATGTGGCGTATCCAGCAGCAGAAATGAAAATTTTTGCGTTAGCAGCGCGTCCAGCACGTCAGATGCTCACAACGCCCCGCTTCACCTGTTCAGACACGCTGCGGGACGTTTTGCTGCGTCTTGATTCGCTTCAACCATTGACTTTGCATTTAAACTAGCTCCTCCTGCTGCCTCTGCTGCTTTAGGTGTGAACGTACAGTAGCTATGTCAGACGGCAAGCAGACGAAGCAGCTTGTTTACATTCAAAGTCAATGGTTGACGTGCATCAAGGCGCAGCAAAAGCTCCTGCAGTGCATTTTAAGCAGCAGAGAAAGCGCCTCATGAGCTTCTGAGCATCTGACGCACGTGACCTGCTTCAGAAGCAGCAACAGCTGCTAAGTGTTGGAAAAATTAAACTTTAGCTGCTGGACGCGCCACATCAACCAATCTGAGAAGCTGATCTGGGAGCTGGCAGGGAGACAGACACAGCGCTGCTGATACAGAGCGCTATGATCACTCCTCTGAAACAGTTTATTAACGCCTAAATTAACTTAAAAGGTCGAAACCTGCCAGCAAAATATGTTTGATTTTATTATCCTAGTGCCTGCAGTTTGGATTACGTATGTAAAAAATGTCTTCCAGCAGCCGTGAACAGTAGCAGAAAATCGTGAAGAGGTGACCGGGCCAGAGGCTGCCACTGCACAGGATTCCAAGTGACAGCGCACCGCCGGTGCACGGGGGGCTGAGCGGCTCCGACAGTGAAATAATACTTAAGCAGGATGGTAATCTGGATGAACTGACTGCACAGATGAAGTTTTCAGGTGGACTTTCTCACTTAAAGACATATCAAACTACTTTTTACCCACTAATCACGACAAATATAGCTGCCATTGTTCCAGGCAAAGAAAGGATAGGGTAGCTCCGCCCAACACGCATCGGACCCACTTTCTGCCGCGCAGCTGCAGCAGCAAACATGCTTCAGCCGTGCATCAGAACTAAACTTGTACAAGCATCAAAAAGGAAGCAGCACACGTGTTTTTGCTGCTCCTGCTGCCTGAACGTAGAATTAGTGATGGGGATGCAGCGGTCAGAATTTAGCCATATATAGCTGATACTAAGACCTTATCAGTCGTAATCATATCGATGGATTCATCAATCCACGTTATTTGAGGCAGCGTCAATGCTTGTTCATAATGCCTGAGTGAGCATGCATGTGTGAACTTTAACCTGGTTAAGTGTTCTTTGTAAATACGGGGTCCCCATACGCTCAGCCATGTGTTTATAGGCTGGATGGGATAGAAAGAAATTTCTCTCCGATGTCAGAGCCGCCATGATGTTCTTTTTCCCATCGATGTCCTTCTGGCTGCGGTTTACGACCCCTATGTAACCTGAAGAGGAAGAGATAAAACACAAGTGATGGGCAACTGGTCACTGGAGGTTAAAGCAACACCTGGACCTTTGCATACATCACATTTACAAGCTTTCATGGATTTAACAGAGATAAAATACAGGATAACTATAAGATAAAATAAATACACAGGAAAGAATCTAAATCTAAATAAGTCATTTTTTTTCTTAAAATAAGTGAATTTTGTCTTTAATTGAGGAGGCCAGACACCTTGCCAATGAAACAAGACAATTTACATTTAAAATAAGAAAAAAATAATAGCATTTTCTTATTTAGAGTGCATATTATCTCATTATTTATTTTAGGAGTAAAAGTACTCATTCCATTGGCAGCTCATCTTATTTAACTACTAAAATTAAGGCTAAATAAACTTAATATAACAAATGTTTACTTATTTCTAGATCGTTTTTGCAGTGTAAAAGTTTCCTTTTTAAACAAAACAATCTGAAAAAATTCCTAGTGCATGCTTTATTCTATGGAAGCAAATCGTTACCATATTTCAAATGAAAAAGCATTTTCAGAAATGCTTTTTCATTTTAAGAATGGGGCTGCATTGTTTGACTCATAAATAAAATTAGTAATCAATCATCCTGTTTGCATTTTCATTTTCTTCTTCAACACTGCTCATCCTTTTACTTAATTAAAATGAAAAAGAAAAAGACATTTGAGATTTATTTTTCTAAATGTACCCCAGCAAATACATAGCAAAATAAAATTTGAAATGTAAAATTTGAAAATGAAAAAGCATTTCCAGAAATGCTTTTTCATTAAAATTTTGGTATGTATTTGCTGGGGTACATTTTGAAAAAATAAATTAAATATTTTGATTTATTTTAGAAATAAAATGTCTTTTTCTTTTTCATTTTAATTAATTAAAAGGGTGAGCAGTCTTGAAGAAGAAAATGCAAACAGGATTATTGATTACTAATTATTAATTACTAATTCCATTGCAGCCTTTAGAGATAAGCAAACCAGAATAATTTAAAAGAGAAAACAACTATGAAGACCAACGCAGCAGGTACACTGCAAAATATTGAAATCTAAAAAAAGTCTTTTTTTTTTTTTAACTGAGGAGGTAAATGAGACACTTTGCCAATTAAACAATTTAGACAATTTACATTTAAAATAGGAAAAAAACGATTGCATTGCCTTATTTCAAGTGCATCAATTATCTTATTTTAAGAGTAAAAATACTCATTCCATTGGCAAATCATCCTTTTTACCTATTAAACACACTTAATTTGAGCAATTTCTAGATTGTTTTTGCAGTGTAGGCATTGGCTAAAGTAAGCATGTGGCAATACAACTTTTTCATCTTCACAATATTACTGATATTGCTGCTTTGAGTATTGACCGATACTGATATTGCTGCTTTGAGTATTGACCGATACTGATATTGCTGCTTTGAGTATTGACCGATACTGATATTGCTGCTTTGAGTATTGACCGATACTGATATTGCTGCTTCAAGTATTTAACAATACTGATATTGCTGCTTTGAGTATTGACCGATACTGATATTGCTGCTTCAAGTATTTAACAATACTGATATTGCTGCTTTGAGTATTGACCTATAATGATATTGCTGCTTTGAGTATTGACCGATACTGATATTGCTGCTTTGAGTATTGACCGATACTGATATTGACCAGATATGATATCAGCATGAATCATACATAATTTGCTTATTTTGTATTTTGTGGAATGCTGGAAAAGGCTTGATTAGGAGACATTACTCAGAGAACAAGACTCAACAACAATAGAGTGTTTTTGTCAGCTAAATTTTAGATGCAGGTCGAATCCTTACTATGGTCGTTTTCTGGCTGATATCGGACAGATTTTCAATATCAAAATCAGACGATTCCTAGGCTAAAGTTGTGGGGAAGTTTACAGGAGGATTAGTTAGAAAACTGTATCCGATCATCTGCAAATAGAGTTGGTTAAGACATGACTGGAAACCTGAAAAACATTTGGCGTCTAACAGTTTAGATCAATGTATTTAAATGGTAGAAGTCAAGGTCTAGACCCCATGACTCATTTCATCGATGAGTCATGAAAATCCTGATATATTGATGTTCTCCATCCAATCTGACTGATCTTCAGCCACAGTTTGAGAAACATCTTCAGTCTCTGGTTTGCAAAGCTGGTAGAGACATATCCATAAAGAGCTGCAGCATTGATGACAGCTCCAGGTGATGTAACATAGTTTTTACTCATCACTCCACAATTTTTATGTTTTTTATAGTGAAAAACAATTAATATTTTCACACACTGTATTGAGCAACTTGATTATTACATAAATGTACAATGGAAATGTTCAAGTTAAATTTGACAAGATAAAAGGTGAAAAAGTTAGAGCCTTATAAAAACTTTTGCGAAAGCTTGCGTTTTCTGGTGAGGCCTTGGGAAATCTTCTCAGGCAGCCATTTGTTCCGTTTTGACTGCAGGAGGAAATCTGTGTGTACGTACAACAGCAGGGCACGTTGTATAAAGTGAGCCAAATCTCTGACTTAGAACAGTGATAGATGTAAAAGCAGCAGACTTTAAATCTAAAGCTTCTACTCAGTGCTGCTACAGGAGCAGTTATATCAGTGGGCTCCCATGGCTAATGCATTTCCACTGCAGGGGAAGCATGAAGAATCCCAGCAACTGGTGGTGCTTTATCCGTTCTGTAAAACCTCAGAAGGCTTCAGGCTGTCTCTCCCTCTCTCACAGACACAATCTATTTCCAACACACTCACACTCCCAGCTCTCCTTAAAAGCACAAGCAAAACTGCATGCATGCAGACATACTGTGTACTAAAACCGACTGCAGGAATGTTAATCAGAAGGGATCAGATAATATTTGCAACATGTTTAAATTGAATCGTGATACGTGAAAGCAGAAAAATTTGTTTTTTTTGTCAACACACCTCTGCGTAAGGGAAGTAACCGGTTTTCTAGTATTTCCTTGGCATCAGTTCCTTTGTCCATCAGATCAAGTTTTGTGATTACACCAATTGTTCGTTGACCTAGGATCAGAAACAGAGACAAGTTTCTTACATTTAAACAATGTTTTCAAAGAAAATTTTTACACGAGAGTTAAAAAGCCTTTAGATTCCCTGCTGTTGATGTACAGGTGCTGGTCATAAAATTAGAATATCATGAAAAAATAGATTGATTTCAGTAATTCCATTTAAAAAGTGAAACTTGTATATTATATTCATGCATTACATACAAACTCATATATTTCAGATGTTTATTTTGTTTAATTTTGATGATTACAAATGACAACAAATGAAAATCTCAAATTCATCATATCAGAAAATTAGAATATTACTGAAGACCAATAAAAACAAAGGATTTATAGAAATGTTGGCCAACTGAAAAGTATGAACATGAAAAGTAGGAGCATGTACAGCACTCAGTATTTAGTTGGGCCTCCTTTGGCCTGTATTACTGCAGCAATGCGGCGTGGCATGGAGTCGATCAGTCTGTGGCACTGCTCAGGTGTTATGATAGCCCAGGTTGCTCTAATAGTGGCTTTTAGCTCTTCTGAATTGTTGGGTCTGGTGTATTGCATCTTCTTCTTCACAATACCCCATAGATTTTCTATGGGGTTAAGGTCAGGAGAGTTTGCTGGCCAATTAAGAACAGGGATACCATGGTCCTTCAACCAGGTACTGGTAGCTTTGGCACTGTGTGCAGGTGCCAAGTCCTGTTGGAAAATGAAATCTGCATCTCCAAAAAGTTGGTCAGCTGCAGGAAGCATGAAGTGCTCTAAAACTTCCTGGTATGTGGCTGCGTTGACCCTGGACCTCAGAAAACACAATGGACCAACACCAGCAGATGACATGGCACCCCAAACCATCACTGACTGTGGAAACTTTACACTGGACTTCAAGCAACGTGGATGAAGTGCCTCTCTTCTTTTCCTCCAGACTCTGGGACCTTGATTTCCAAAGGAAATGCAAAATTTACTTTCATCAGAGAACATGACTTTGGACCACTCACCAGCAGTCCAGTCCTGTTTCTCTTTAGCCCAGGCAAGACGCTTCTGACGCTGTCTGTGGTTCAAGAGTGGCTTGACACAAGGAATGCGACAGCAGAAACCCATGTCTTTCATACGTCTGTGTGTGGTGGTTCTTGAAGCACTCACTCCAGCTGCAGTCCACTCTTTGTGAATCTCCCCCACATTTTTGAATGGGTTTTGTTTCACAATCCTCTCCAGGGTGCGGTTATCTCTCTTGCTTGTACACTTTTTCGACCACATCTTTTCCTTCCCTTCGCCTCTCTATTAATGTGCTTGGACACTGAGCTCTGTGAACAGCCAGCCTCTTTAGCGATGACCTTTTGTGTCTTGCCCTCCTTGTGCAAGGTGTCGATGGTCGTCTTTTGGACAACTGTCAAGTCAGCAGTCTTCCCCATGATTGTGTAGCCTATAGAACTAGACTGAAAGACCATTTAAAGGCTTTTGCAGGTGGTTTGAGTTAATTAGCTGATTAGAGTGTGGCACCAGGGGCCATCAATTTTGAACCTTTTCACAATATTCTAATTTTCTGATATGATGAATTTGAGATTTTCATTTGTTGTCATTTGTAATCATCAAAATTAAACAAAATAAACATCTGAAATATATGAGTTTGTATGTAATGTATGAATATAATATACAAGTTTCACTTTTTAAATGGAATTACTGAAATCAATCAACTTTTTCATGATATTCTAATTTTATGACCAGCACCTGTAACTGGGATTAGCTTTCCTATTCCATCGGTTAGAGGAAATCACCTCATTCATTCTAGCTTACCCAAAAAAAAGCTATTACGCATAATCAGTCTTCAAAACAATCAGACCTGGAATGATGACCTGGTTATGCTCTCTGCTTTTTCTCATAGTAGCTTCATCTGGTCTGTTCCTGTTTGGCTGTGACTCCATCCTGGAGAGAAATATCAGCTGTGCTGCTGCCATCAACACTTTTGTTTCTAGATTTTGGAGCTTGGCCTGTTTTCCAGTGTAGTCCTGTTTCTCTGACTGTGACTAACTGGATGTGCTCTCTTCATCCTCTGACATGGGAGCTGGCTCGGAGCTCGTCTGCCTGGCTGTGTGTTTCCTGGACGGGGCCGCCTGTGGAGCTGGTTGACAGTTGCCTTTTGTATCTATGCTTCTTTTTCTATGTCTGCTTCTGTCTCCTTGAACCCCAGTCGGCCTCAGCAGATGGCCGCTCACACTGAGCCTGGTTCTGCTGGAGGTTTCTTCCTGTTCAAAGGGAGTTTTTCCTCTCCACTGTCGCTACAAGCATGCTTAGGGCGAGGGATTGCTGAAGAGTCAATGAGTCGATGCAATCAGCTGGTTTTCCTTAGATAGAAAACTTTGAATCAATCTGACTGGATGATCTGGTGAACTCTAAAGTGACCTGAGATGACGTGATGTGAATTGGAGCTATAGAAATAAACTGAATTGAATTGAAAAGGTAATTAAATGTACAGGGTGGCAAAATGGACAACCTGGTTGATAGAAATTTCCGATTTTTTTATACTTTTTTTGTACTAGCTGTAGCTATGTGCAACATAGGGAAAATTGCAGCTGCTTTCTTGAGTAGTAGGTTCTTCTGTCTTCACTTTTTTTAAGTGTGGAACAGAAAAAAAATGGTTATGTCACTTAATTTATATATGCCATAAAACTAGTGTTGTCTGTTAAAAACTTTGACACTTTGATTTAACAAAACCAAGAAAAAAAGAAAAATACCACAAATATATCATAGTGCTGTTTTATTGTTCACTGCTTCTAATGAGCTGAGTTGGGTAACCAGGAAACATCACTAGTGCAGTCTTTTCTGGTATTTCATTGCCTGGGACATTTACTGTGTTCTACTGAAAAAAAGATCATTTAAAGGAGAAATTTTCAAACAAGAACAAACATTCGAGAAAAAGACGTAAAATCAGTGAGATGCCCATTAGACAACAGAAAGAGCTGAGTGGTTTAATGAAAAATAGAGTCTCGTCTGTTGGGAAGGTGGCGTTTTAAATAACATAGGGTGGAAAATAAAGAAACACATTTAAAAGAGCATAAAACATTCATACACAATTTTACAATCTATCTTCAATGTTAAATGAAAAGTCCGGTCAGCAAAGAATAAACAATAGATCATGATTTATACCTAAAACTAATATGTTCGCAGTGATTTAATGAATTTAGCGTTAATCAGTAAAAAAATAATAAAAACAATAATTTTTGTTGCGATCAATAGGTTCGGGAGCGTCAATTTTTGCCCAAATATAGTAGCCCCTCCCTCCTGCCATCTTCCAGCAGTGATGTCACGGTGCGGTAAGCATAGCGCCATTCTCCCCGCTTTCCAAGCTAAATCAATGGGAACTACTAAACACATCTGCAATCAACAACAATTATTGAAGATTTCCAGAGGACTTCACCATTGAAATTCACCAGAGCTATAGTGAAACTGACAATGCCCACGTGCATGGCAGCTGGATGCTGGAATACATCGGGTAAAAGTGAAAAAAAGAGTTATTCCACCTTTCTGATTCCTGATCCTCCACGGACGGGTTGGTCGTTGGATCGCCAACTTGAAGAGGGAGGATTTACCATCGAACTTCTGGCCAGAGAAAAAACCCGTAATATGTAGCCAACATTTGGAAGAAGAATGTTTTCAAGATGACTTGGATAATAGCGCGTTGTGACAAACACCAGATACAGCACTGGGACTTGATCAACAGCCGATACCGCACCGTGACGTCACTAACCAGTAGGTGGCAGTAGTGTTCTTTGACAAACATGGATGCCTCCAGTAAAGCACATTCACATGAAAATTACTCTGAATTAAAAACACTGATCATTTATTGAACAGGATGGAATCATTTCATATTTAAAGAACTTTCAGAAGTTTGAATTCTAAATATGACCAGACCTTTCGTTTAAAGCTAAAAGAGGAATAAAGGACAAATTTTCCAGTCATCCTCCAAACAGACACAGCTTACCTTGTGGATCGACGTCTTTGGCCAGCTTTAGTGCGTCTGAATTAGCCAGGTCGGTGTTGGCTGGCGTTACAGCCAGAATGAGACAGTTTTCCTTACAGATATACTGCATGATCATGTCTCGTATCTGGTACTCTATGTCTGCCGGCTGGTCTCCCACCGGCATCTTGGTGATGCCAGGCAGGTCCACCAGAGTCAGGTTCAACACTATAAGCAGAGAAATAAACAAACGGGTCACATGTAGAGAATTATACCATATCTATTGAGCCCATTAGAATAAACACTAATAAACTATGTTACCGTGAGGTGAGTAAATCTTTAGTGTGATGGGGACGGGGGAGATGCCTTTATTCGATCCTGTGAGTCTGATTGTCTCGGTCTCGATTTCCTGCCGTATCTCATCAAAATCTGTGAACTTCTTTCCCTTGCAGTGGAAAAATTCACCATATTCTTCAAAGATCCACAAATAGACAAAGGGTATAAGTTCAGTAAAGAAAGAAAGCACAGTAATGTTCAACAATTTGCTAAGAAACAACCTCAGCATCCTAAGGAGTAACATACACTGCCATCTAGTGGCAACCCTGACCCCATGCTAGAGAATAATGAGATCTTCTGTTTACCTTTGTCTGAGTTTAGGAGCTGAAGGATTAAAGGTCTCCGAGTGACGATTCCTGAGCCTCGTGGAAGGAAGTCCCTGAAAGATAAGAAACCGATTAAATGCTTACAGACACACAAATAGACAAACTAACGGTGAGGAGCAATTCATCTTATTTGAGAAAAAACATAAATGCTTATAAAGCCATTCAAATATATACTTAATGACGAAAAAGACAACAATAGTTTCTATTTATAGTAGTGATTATTATTGAGGGGCCAAAACTAATCCCCCCCTTTCCTTTTAAAATCCTATTCAGGAAGTTTGTTTTCCTACATCCTGTCGCTGCTCCTGCAGCCTAAAGAGTTGTCATAACACCATCCTAAAGCAAAGGGTTAAAAACATGAACATAAACACAGATGGAAATGGGTGTGTTCATCAGAAGTGGAGCATCTGTCAGCTTCTTTTAATCTATTCAAACAGCCGTGCGATTCGTTTTTAGACCCGTTAAATCTTTCAAAAGTGGAAAAGACGGGACAAAATAAGGCTTTGTTGAGACCATTTTTAAACATCCGAATAACTAGGGCTGTCCTGCAGGAGTCACGTTGACCTCAGTCCTCGTCGCTGCCTTTTGCAAAGCCTGTCTGCCAGATAAACGTCTGTTCCATGTTCCCTCACACCCACCCAACACTTTAGAAACATGTTCAGGACTCTATCAGACCCCAATGAAGGGAACCTACCAGCATTCTGAGATGCCTAAAATACTTCTTTCACTACAGGAAATAGTGAGCATATCCCGCTCCCTGGGAGGGGCCCACATTGTTTTACTTATGATGATACAAGTTACTTCACACTACATTACAAATGAATACACATACGATGACAACATATAGGAAAAAACTGTTGAGAAATGAATGAAGGACACAGAGGAAAAGAAGATGAAAACTGAAAACATCAGCTGATAGATTCCACTTTGGAGCTACATTTCTCATTAAAATAGAAAATATTCAGAATAGGTCAACTTTAAGACTCTCTCTTATTTTTAACTTTCCTTTTCCACACTAAGAACAACAGATTAAATACTTTTTGTTCAGGGGTAAATGGTACAGGGTAGAGTTTCACCAGCTGTACTTAGACTGAGACGATATTTTTTCATATCCAGAGGATGTACAGCCGATGTTCTGTCAGATGAGCATACCCCGTCAGACCAGCATACCCATAGTCAATACCTACTTATCCCTTTAGTTTATTTCTTTAGTTTTGCACAAAAAATAGACTTTAAACTACCTCAACGGGCATGTGTTCCTTTAGTCATGTACGAAATACAATTTAATAACTTTCTTTTTGGTGTTTTTTGAAGCGTATGGCGATCTGACCTTAAATAGTTTTTTTTTTACATAACTAAAGGGATACACGCCCGTTGAGGTAGTTTAAAGTCTATTTTTCGTACAAAATTATCTTGCACATCTGACGGGGTATGAACGCTGGATTTTAATTCATAGTCAGCTCAGAAATCTAAACTTGATATTTGCATGACCAATGGGTGAGAAGTAGCCACTGGGCATTTATCATATCATTTATTGCGTTACATTTCATGTCATGATAATCATTTTTTTTAGGGATGCATGATATAATCGGCCCCCTATCGGTATCGGCCTTAAAACTGAATATCGGACATCGGCCACCCCACCGATATTTAACCTGATATTTGATCAGCTTCTGAGTTTCTAAAGTCTAAAAAAATAAATACTACTTCTTCCTTAAAAACTTCTTTTTTACAGACTTAAAACCTTCTAAAGACGAGGGAAAAAATATTGATAAATTTAAATATCACAATATCTTCATATGCTGATATATTGCCATTTAAAAACACCATATCAATCTCTTTTACTAATGAAATATTGCTATATGTCATCGTTATGCTACGAAATCCCCCGAAAATTCACGAAATGTTGCCATATTTTTATATGTTGAAATATTGACCCGGTATCGATCTATTTTACTAACAAAATCTCACAAGAATTTGCAAAATATCACGAGAGTTTGTAACAGAACGATGAAATTTCATGAGATTTTGAAAGTAAAATAGATCGATACCGCGTTTTTAAAAATCAATTTGATATCAGCATATGAAAATATATAGGAGTATATTATTTTTCAAAGTGTCAGAAATTGATAACAAAACTGCTATTTTCAATGACTACTTATTTTTGTCCAGCTTTAACATCGGTATCGATATCGGTTATCGGCTACATGAGTTTTAAAATATCGGCATATCGGATATCGGCCAAAATCCCAATATCGTGCATTACTAGTTTTTTTGTTTTTGTTTACTTTTATTTAATTTCTCCCTAACATACAAACTTTGTAGAAGAATGGTCAAAAACAATATCAGCACTACATCTCACATGTATATACAAGAGTCCGTCCATGAGTTCTATGTACACAGCGATTGTCCGTTAGACTCCATTTTACATTCCACTCCCAGTGTTTCCAGTGGCTTCCTCCAGATATTTGTGAAGAATTGAAGACTTCTATCAATGTAACGTCCAAGTCTAATCAGAGTCATAACGTCAGATATTAGTGATTTCCATAAAGAAATGGAGGGGGGTTCCCTGCCCACCCATTTCACCATAATGGCCTTCCTTGCTAACATTAAAAGTGACTGTATCACATGCTCGTGCTTTACTAGTGGCTTAGGAATATGTCCCAACAAACACATCAGTGGGTTTTCTGACACATTTTGACCAATGGCTGTACTGATTCTGGCACAAACATCGTTCCAAAATGACTGAATAACATCACATTCCCACAAACAGGGAAACCTGGTGCCCACAGAAATTTTACATTTGGGGCAATCTGGAGAAGTTCCCGCATTGTACTTGCTAAAAATATAAGGAGAAATATATACATTATGCAAAATGTTACACTGCATTTCTTTAAATCTGTTACAAACAGAGATTTTAGATGGCCGGAGCAGGATTTTATCCCATAATTGAGTGCTTATTTCACATTTGAGTAAAGTTTATGATAATAATTTTTAATAATTGTCTGAACAATGAATTAAAATTAATGGGTGAATTGCCAGAGTCTTTAGGTTTTCTTCCCCCCCCACCCCCCCACCCCCCATTGAAACATTAACCAATTTAATAAACATCTTAAATGTGTTTCCTGTAGGATGTTTGGTGCTATAAATCCTCTTTCTTCAGCTAGAGGTTTGCAGAGGAAGCCTATTTTAAATTTGCAGATTATTTGAGGATCAGTATTTGTTATTGTGGGGTTATCATTGCAGCATGCAGTCATCGTCATACAGTTAACTAAGAAGAGTTTTTTTCCTCCTCACCTTTATCTTAACTTGATAATATCGCTAAAAATTGTGAGAAGATTTTAAGTCCATATGGCCCAGCTCTAGTTATATATTATAATATTGCTGTTATGATACTAAAGTTTGTGTATGATGTTGAACTCTAAATCTATATATTCTTTTAGAAACAGAGTCAACATTTATCATTTCCCATGCAGTAGGTAGCATATTTCTGCAACGTTAGCACCTTATTTTGTCCAATTTATGGACAATCCAAACCAGGGTTAGTTATACCGCAGTGATTATAGATGCTTTAAAACAGACTAACAAACTGAACTATATAAGAGTTTTCAGATTGTTTTTATTCTTTCTACCCAGACATAACACATAGTTAGAAGTGTTTACATAGCAGAGATTAGCAGTTGTAGCAACACCTGGTAGCAATTCCATCACTGCTACGGCCAAATAAATTTTTGTTAAAACATGAATATCTATATCATAGCCTGTTGGTACCTATGGTCCACGCGGGGGGTATTTACCATTAGTTGATAGTTACTAAAGCTCTAGTGTACATGTATGGTTAATACAGCTATTACTTATTTGTGCACATTGTTTTTAATAAAAATCCTTTTGTTAAAATGCCATCAGAACGCTAATAATATTAAGTGTGTCTCACACTTGTTTCCATTTCAGCTGATGTTTAGCCAGTACAATTATTTTAAGTACTACTTATGTCATCAATTACATTATAGACTATTAAACAGTCATCTTATATAGCATATTTTGAAATGAGCTTGGTTTTAATCAGTTTTTTAAATTGGTTTGCATTTATAATTTTTTTAAACTCGTCATTCAATCCATTTTAGACATTTACTCCACACACAGATAAACAAAAACTCTTCCTGGTTGTTCTAAAGTGTTTTTTAAAGTATCCTTCAACTCTTAGATCATAACCCCCCTCTCTGTCACCAAATATTTCCTGTATATTGTGTGGACGTTTTTGATTTCGGACCTTAAACATGAATTGTGAAGTTCTAAATATTACCAGATCCCAGAATTTCAGTATATTTGATTTGATAAATAACTGGTTTGTGTGTTCCCAGTATCCCATGATGCAGCATGCTTTCGCTTTTGTATTAATTTCAGCTGTGCTCATTCATTATGTTTCAACAACTGTTTAAATATTTGGTTTGTTGTTTCAATGCCTTATCCTACATGTTATTCTTCTTTAGTTCTTGAACTTCTTAAGATCTTCCAATTACTACATTTCATCAATTTTCTTAAGCAATTACTGGTTTTGAGGTAACTTTGGCTTTTGAAACTGTTTCTCTTTAGTTTATCTTTACCAATATTTCTAGCATTTTGTTTTTACTTTATTAGATCCAGTAGGTTTTCTGTCAACGTCCTTTTCTTCTACTGTCTTTCAGAAGAGGTATTAAGCTTTCTGCTAACATATTACAATCTAGCTGATCTCCTGTTAACTTTAAATTGTTTCTGACGGCTTTCAGCGGAAGATTATGGAAAACAGCATCAACACTGTATTCTTTCAGAAAATGCAGATTATTCTAGTATATTAATTATTACCCTATACTGTCCTAGCCTAAAAAAACAGATATAGACTAATAGATGCTGTATAATGCTGTAATCATTTGAGCAATATGAACCACATCAAGAAAATGAACAATGCAGCCCCATTAATGAATGACTTTTTAGTTGGAGTACAGATAGTTTGGATTTTTTATATGAATTGGAAGCATTAAATTACCACCGAGAGCGTTTTGACATCAAATACACTACATTTTGCCGGAAGCTGTTTATCTGCATAGTATCTTAAAAGCAAAAACACTTATTATTATCATGAAATGTGTTTTCTTAAGTCAATATTTGTAGTTGCACATCAATAAAAATGAAATTCAGTGATGGCTTTTACTTTTTGAATCTTAATATTATCATTACCCCAACATAAATCTGACATCCCACTATGAAATGATTTAGCTATGGTGTGCTGTTTGTAAAGTTAAGCAGTCAGAAATTAGGACCAATATTAATACAAAATAAGGGGGTTATATTTTTCCAAGTAATGTCAATCATTTATTTATTTATTTTTTTGTTACTTGTTACTTACTTTGTTAACTAAATATTTAGTTTGGAGCTAAATATGTATTTTGCAAATTGAATATTTAGTTTGTTAAATAAATATTTAGTTCCAAACTAAATACTTAGTTTGTTAAAGAAATGTTTGGTTTGGAGCTAAATATATATTTAACAAACTAAATATTTAGTTTGGAGCTAAATATTTATTTAAAAAACGAAATATTTAATTTGCAAACTAAACATTTAGTTTGTTAAACAAATATTTATTTTGCAAACAAATTTTTTGTTTTTGAAATCAATATTTTGCTCCAAACTAAATATTTAGGTAGCTCGGTGCTGGTTAAAGTTTAGTTTGTTAGATAAATATTTAATTTGGAGCAAAATATTTAATTTTCAAAATAAATATTTAGCTTTGAGCTAAATACTTAAACTAGATGTTTAATGTACAAACTTAATATTTAGCTCCAAATTATATATCTATTAAACAAACTAAATATTTAATTTGGAGATAAATATTTATTTAACAGACCAAATGTTTGATTTGCAATCTAAATATATAGTTTGTTAAATAAATATTTATTTTGCAAATATTTTTTTTTTTTGTTTGTGAAATAAATATTTTGCTTTAGCTAGCTTGGTGCTAGCTAAAGTTTAATTTGTAAAATTATTATTTTTTTTTATAAATATAAAAATAAGTTTGGAGCTAAATATTTTTAACAGAGTAAGATGTTTATAAATAAATGAATGACACATTGAAAATATAACCCGCTTATTTTTCTCTTAAAACAGGTTAAATAACTATAAATATTGCTCCTAACCCCCCCATATCTGAAGCTTCACGTGCAGTGGGGGGGGTCGGGACACTCACCTGCCCACAAAGTTCTCCAGCACGGAGCTCTTTCCGGCGCTCTGTTCTCCCACCACGGCGATCTGCGGCAGGTGGAGGCAGCAGCTCTGCCCCGCGGAGCTCAGGGCTTCATGGAGGCGGTTCACCGCCGGAATCAGCTCCTCCATCCCACGGTTGCCCATCGCAACGGGAGCAGCGACCCTCCCAGCCCCTCTTGCCCGTTTTCCCTACTCCACGCCAATCGAAAGCGCAACTATCATACTTTAATATCCCTTAGAATAATGCGCCCTTTGTGTATTTTAAATCTAAATAAATAATAAAAAGTGACATGAAGGAGGCTGGCGCTGCTTTTAAAGGCAGGACCAGCCGTTAGCGCCTCAAAGGAAAAACTCTACCGTCGGTCTCTTCCACTGCGGTTCTCGAAGCAAAAATAACTTCCAGAAAGTTTCCCGGAGGCATGTTTCTACCTGCAAACCTTTACAGCGTTTCTTCCTTCAGACTCCTAACTGGTCTGCTTAGTTTCCCTTTTTCCTCCGATAATAAGAACTCCCTGGAAAACAAAGTGGAGAAACGTCGCACTGACAGCTAACGGAGTGAACTTCTCTGCGCATGCGCAGGAACAGACCAGTCTGTCTGCACCCCTCCCCTGCCCCCCTTAAAACTCAGAAGACAGACAAAGTTTGCAGCCAATTAGCAGAAACCTTGGACTCAATCACAGCTCTGGGTTGAAGCTATTTAAAATCCCACAGGGCAACTAGAGCCAGAGTGTACAGTTCATCCACTGTAAATAACGCTATTGCATTCTTTGCCTGTGAGGGAGAGCAGGGGCGCATTTACCATTAGGCAATACTAGGCAGATGCCTAGGGCCCCAAGTTCCTGGGGGCCCCATAAAGCTCTAGTGTACATGTATGGTTAATACAGCTATTACTTATTTGTGCACATTGTTTTTGATAAAAATCCTTTTGTTAAAATGCCATCAGAACACTGATAATATAGTATTAGCCCCCGCTTCAGTGTCCACCATATTGGATCAGTCCATTTGCTGCACATGTTCAGAAAGGTCCAAACAGACAGCAGCAAACCATTTGAAAACAAACCATGCAAAGAGCAAAGAGAAAGACAAAATATACAATATTATTTATTAGTGATACATTATCATTAAGCAAATGCATTTTAAGCTTCTTTAAAACTTTACTCTAATTTTAGGTCTTTTAATATCTCTGCAATGTCTATATGTGGCTTTCGTTTGGAGTCAGCGGTACCACAGGACAACGTCCTCTGGAAATTCTTGGCTGCTTGGCTCAAGGACGGAAGGATGCGGTCGGCATCCTTTGCTTCTCGGAAGCACAGAAGAACTTCGTTGATCTCCTCTGGGATCCTTTGGGAGAGGATGGTGGGAAACACACTCTTGACACGCTCAAGCACGTTTTTCCTGAGGAGCAGGTCACGGCACACAAGGTTTAGCATGAACAAACCTGGAAGTAAAAGATACCAAAAAAAAGAAGGTGTTAATAACAAATCCAATTTATTTATCAGTAACCAAAAGTCTAAATAAGTTGTGTAAAATGGCAAGTGAAAGTAAATTCCTTCATTTACTTTCAATTTGTTTGTAGATGCTAGATGGGAAACGATGTCATGTTTGGTCTTGTCAGGATTGTGTCATTTGTTTTGCATTCCTCTACTTCGGTACGCCTAAATTGAAAGTGAATCCAATTTTTCTAAAGACTCGGACTTATGCAGCTTCTGGCATTAAAGGAGCAAGGCCAGAAAAGAAACTGCAAGGAGTTCTTAGTCCTAGAACCGTTCCACATTTTCTCATGTTACAAGCTTCAATCTTTTTTTTTATCCAGTTATCTGATCAACATGAAGCATTATGAAGGAAAAAAATGTGACAAAAATGATGAGGATTTTCACTTTCTTTTACAAATAGAAAAAGATCTAATAAGTGGGTCATACATATGGATCTGTGCAGATATTATTTAGATGGCGATTTTAATACAGGTATATGTTTTATCAAAGCAATTTGATGTTGTAGACTGGGTGAGGACTGCTGCAGTCCTTCCACTCAGACTGTCCCCGCCTCCCCTGTTGAAAAGAAGCTTTCTCCCAGCCAGAGGTTTCCCTTTGCTACTATCTAACCAAAGCACCATCTTCCAAGCATTTGGTGTTCCTGCTTTGTAGAGTGAATAACTAATATCTATCCTGTCTGCAGATTTGCCCACATCAATGTAGAGACAGCAATGCTAGACATTACCTTGCTTACCTTCCTGAGCCATTTCTATAGTTCTGCTGCTATAGGCTTAGACTGCTGGAGGACATAGGGACCCCTTTTTCATCATTCTGCTTCATTCTATCTCTATTCTCTCACTCTGCAGAATCTGTTAGTTCAATCTCTAACGTTCTGCTCTCTCTGCTTTTTCTCATAGTAGCTTCATCTGGTCTGTTCCTGTTTGGCTGTGACTCCATCCTGGAGAGAAATATCAGCTGTGCTGCTGCCATCAACACTTTTTTTAATAGATGTTAGAGATCGGCCTGTTTTTCCAGTGTAGTCCTGTTTCTCTGACTGTGACTAACTGGATGTGCTCTCTTCATCCTCTGACATGGGAGCTGGCTCGGAGCTCGTCTGCCTGGCTGTGTGTTTCCTTTACAGTTTCTTTTGTATCTCTGCTTCTGTCTCCTTGAACCCCAGTCGGCCTCAGCAGATGGCCGCTCACACTGAGCCTGGTTCTGCTGGAGGTTTCTTCCTGTTCAAAGGGAGTTTTTCCTCTCAACAGTCGCTACAAGCATGCTTAGTGTGAGGGATTGCTGAAGAGTCAATGAGTCGATGCAATCAACTGGTTTTCCTTTGATAGAAAACTTTGAATCAATCTGACTGGATGATCTGGTGAACTGGAAAGCGCCTTGAGATGACATGTGTTGTGAATTGGCGGTATAGAAATAAACTGAATTGAATAACTTGCATCCCTAGTTGTAATATAATGGTTATGACATAAACTGGAGCCTTTGTTTACCTCTTGGAGTGAGCATGTTAAAAACTTTCTGCAGAACAGGTGTCTCTACAAAAGCAGCAGGAGGACAGCTCATCCCCACAGAGCTGTCTTTGTTGTCCACATCAAACATGATGACATCAAAACAATGGCCACCTATATGGAAAGAAATACCTCAGTCACATGTGAGTTTTGTTTATATATATATACTTATTTTCTGCTCACAGCCCTGCTCTGCCAGCCCAACACTGACCTTCTTTCTCCAGGGAGCAGATGCGTTCCAGGCCATCCCCCAGAGTGACGGTCAAACGATCGTCGGGTCGGAATCCAAACCAGTCCTTTGCTACCTGCAGCACAACTGGGTCTAGTTCTACGACCTCAACAGCAGCATCCGGCACAAAGTCGCGGAGGAACTGAGGGAGGCCTCCACCACCGAGACCCACCAGCAGCACTGAAACCGGGCCGTCTAGGAAGGAAGGTATTTAGAAAAAATGAATGGAGTCCTGCAAAGGTTGTGAATCAGCCCAAACAGGCAGGTCTGGGAAAATTAAAGAAGACACACACCTTTGTTCTGCGGAGTCCCCGCTCCAAGCATGGACAGACCGGCCACCATGACCTCATGGTGAGCACAGCAGAGGAAGCCGCTGTCCACCGACAGACAGGCTGAAGGTGGAGCTGCTGCAGCCGCTGCCTTGGTCTTCTTTTTGTTCTTCTTCTTGTGGTTTGATGCTGCTGATGAACAAATATTGATTTGTTTGGATTGTTGCTTTGGTTTTAAAACTACTTTGTCAATTTCTGCAAACTGTGGATCCATAAGGTCATTAAAAAAATTAACAAATATATAAATAAATCATTTATAAATGATTCCACCTTGTGTCTTTCATCCTGCACAATCTGGGTGAAAAAGATGCAATAAGATGTTTGTTTTGGGGTCAAAGTAACTGGCTGTTTAAGATAAAACAACATTTCCATCTAAAGAACGGTGAGTCTGCATTACGACGCCTCCATCGCCATAATTCCTCATTCCTAGGGGTGAGTATTGGCATGCGTGTCGTGATACGATACGTGCAGTAGTTGAGTTACAAAAACAAAAAGGGGGATGGTGGAATCGCTTTTTTTTTTAAGCATACATAGCCTAATTAATATATTCTATTAACCTAAAGCAATATGCATAATATGGTTATTACATGTCAGGTAACACGTCCTGACCTTCCCTGTCGCAGGAGCACGCATCGCCCTAAACTCACGCCCAGTGATGAGAAAACGGATTGAAATTTGAAGGGAAATTTTAAACATATTCTTAATGTTTTCATATTTCTTATACATGGATGCCTTAAAATGGATAGTTTAAGGGGACAGATTAATTCCAATTAATAGGATCTTACTTGTAAGGAGACACGTTTCAGTCAATGTGCTGCAGTCAGTGTGCGATGAATAAATTCTCTGCTCTAGATCAGGCATCCCTAAACTCGGTCCTCAAGGCCCCCTGTCCTGCAGGTCTCTAAAATGTTTTTAAGCTCAACATGTCCAGTATTTAAAATTCAAAACCTTTATTCACAAATATGCTCTGTTTTTTACCAAGTGTAGCCAGCCAATCCTGTTAGCGTATGCAAATTAGCCATGTGCTTTTCTGTAGTTAATAACACGGGCAACACGGAACAGATTGCGTGAAGACAGCAGGTCTTCACTCCTGTTTGTGGACCTCCTCTGGACAAATTCGACCCATTTCCATTCATCAGAAGCTGGTTTAAATTAGGACATGTGCGTGCATGAAGGAGAGAGACAGACAGACAGACAGTCTTTGTGCATGTGTGTGTTTTCATAGACTGACTGTCTATTCAGGCTCTTGCCCACTCAGCTTCACAGAAAGCTGAGTCCACCAAGTAGTCAGGAAGTTGAGCCCCCCCTCAAAAAAAAAAATCACTCCGGACAAACTGTCTCCTGCACTACTATTAATACTATATTAATTTACTGTTCTTTTGCACTGTTACTGTCACAAATATATCTTACATAATTGGTAATAATAATAATAATTTTTCTGCTACCATTACCATCTGCCGTTTTGCACTAAGTATTGCATATTTTATATTATTGCACATTTTGTATTTTATTGTGAAATTGAATGTTTAAATTTTAGTATTAGGAACTGATCTTATCTGTTGTGCCTGTGCACTTTATCGGTTTCACTGTTGGTGAATGAGAAACGAACATCCTCTCGAGTCCTTGTATGTCTGGTGAATGTGAAGAATTGACATTAAAGCTGACTTTGACTTTGAAATGTTATAGGCCTACTGCATATTGAGAAAATTTAGATCGGTATTGCGCAACAATCTGGAGATGGCGACCCCTCCCAAATATTGACAGGTATTTCGCACACTGCTCCCCTCCTTATTTTCCCATTTATTGTCCCAGACTTATGAAATTCATACAACAATCACAGAGAGCAGGTATGATTATGTGGAGAAACTTGCATAATTGTAAACACATTATTTCTCAAACTGAGCAGGGGAGGGAGATCTCAGCAACATAGAACTTAAGATTCCCTCCCCTCCTTATTTTCACATTCCCTCAAATCGCGCTGTCTTTGCCGCTTGGCCGTGATGCTGTTCAGAACGCCATCACCTGATCCGCTGGTTGCGCCACTGAGGTTGAACATGAAACTGCCTGTGCCCTCTGGGCCACCGTACTTTGTTCAGGCTACTCGTAAGCTCACAGCCTGCCAAATGTTGAAAGAGCAATATTATTGCCATTACTGTTAATATATAATAGAAATTTACACATTCAGTGATAACATGTCACAGGGGGCAGTATGGGGGGATGGCCATTTAAGAAGGGAGATGACTTTTAAGAACGCAGAAGTTTCATGATACCATATTATCACTACATTGCAATATCACCATATATTGCCATATTTTTCCTGCTAACGAAATTAAATGCATAGATAAAAAAAAAGTATCAGATGATGATGACAATTTAGTTATTTTGGTATACATGTTGCTTGGGGTTTGAGTCAGCCCACATCTTCCACTGTGACTGTCCCAACTACAGGTAACGCACTGCGCCGCACTGCAGAAGGGCTCCACAGCGCCACCTGCCAGAGTGGTGGTGCAAAGGTAGATGATTTTCCCTCAGTTTTAGGTAAAAATGCTTTGCTTAAAAAAATAAAAAAAATCAATACTAGGAACTAAAAGATCACTATTATATCAGGCAGCCAAAAATCACCCCTATTCCTAACCTTGGGCTGGGAGATGTTTGAGTGGTTTCTTCTTGAAGTCTCTTTCACGTCATCTTTCATCAGGGCTCGGCAGCCCAAACTGCTCAAAGAGCCATATTGAAACGAAAAATAAAAATAAAATCTGTCTGGAGCCACAAAAATGTAAGTCTTTTATAAGCCTCATATGGCAAAAAAAGGAATATATGGGCTTAAATATATTTAAGTTCATTATAATATATTCTAAAGAAGGACACGTTACAGTAAAGAGACATGTAAGAAGAAGAAAGTAAAAAGAATGACCGGTGTTTGATGAGACGAGTCTGCTCTCTGACTGAACCAGGGAAACGTTGGACAGGAACACAAGCCTGCGGTAGAGTTCCCCGTCTTCTCCTCTGACGTTCTCCACACAGTACTCTCCACTGAGCTGACTCACACCCCTGCTGACCTCCTCTCGCCAACCAAGATCACCTCCAACTGACAGAAACGGCACCTGAGGGGAGAACAGAGGCCAGAATGGATTCATTGAATAGTTGCTGTGTTACTTGGACTCCTTGAACTTTTTCCCATTGGGAACACATTACAACTACAAACTCTAACATACTGAGGGGGATTAATCCATTATTAAAATAATCGTCAACTAATTTAATGATCGATTAATCGTTAAATGGAATACAAAGATTCTAAAACATTCATTTAGCTGAAAGAGTGACATTTTAGAGCGGTAATTTTGCATTCAAGATTTTAAAAAAATTGTCTGTCAATATGCTCTACCCAGAACTCCTCAAGTCCATGTATTTGTTACTTCAACGCTGGACTATTGTAATTCTTTACTATCAGGAAGTCCACAAACTGTAGTTAAAAGCCTTCAGCTGATCCAAAATGCTGCAGCCAGAGTTCTGATGAAAATTAAAAAGAGAGATCATATCTCTCCTATCCTGGCTTCTCTTCATTGGCTTCCTGTTAAATCCAGAATAGAATTTAAAATCCTCCTTCTCACATATAAAGCCTTAAATGGCCAAGCTCCATCTGATATCAGAGATCTGATTGTTCCTTATGTTCCTAACGGAGCACTTCGCTCTCAATCTGCAGGTTTACTAGTGGTTCCTAGAATTTCTAAAAGTAGAATGGGAGGCAGATCTTTTAGTTATCAGGCTCCTCTCCTGTGGAACCAACTACCAGTTTTAGTCCGTGAGGCAGACACCCTGTCTACTTTTAAGGCTAGGCTTAAAACTTTCCTTTTTGATAAAGCTTCTAGTTAGAGTGGCTCAGGTTATCCTGAGCTATCTCTATAGTTCTGCTGCTATAGGCTTAGACTGCTGGAGGACATAGGGACCCCTTTTTCATCATTCTGCTTCATTATATCTCTATTTTCCCACTCTGCAGAATCTATTAGTTCAATCTCTAACGTTCTGCTCTCTCTGCTTTTTCTCATAGTAGCTTCATCTGGTCTGTTCCTGTTTGGCTGTGACTCCATCCTGGAGAGAAATATCAGCTGTGCTGCTGCCATCAACACCTTTGTTTTCCACTGTAGTCCTGTTTCTCTGACTGTGACGAACTGGATGTGCTATCCTCATCCTCTGAAATGAGAGCTGGCTCAGAGCTCGTCTGCCTGGCTGTGTGTTTCCTGGACGGGGCCGCCTTTTACAGCTGCATTTTGTATCTATGCTTCTTTTTCTATGTCTGCTTTTGTCTCCTTGAACCCCAGTGGGCCTCAGCAGATGGCCGCTCACACTGAGCCTGGTTCTGCTGGAGGTTTCTTCCTGTTCAAAGGGAGTTTTTCCTCTCCACTGTCGTTACAAGCATGCTTAGTGTGAGGGATTGCTGAAGAGTCGATGAGTCGATGCAATCAGCTGGTTTTCCTTAGATAGAAAACTTTGAATCAATCTGACTGGATGATCTGGTTGAACTGAGATGATGTGTTGTCAATTGGCGCTATAGAAATAAACTGAATAGAATCCATCTTGTGTTTTAGTATTTTCTTTGTGAAGCATCTTGTATTGTTCTCTTACCAGTGAAATGTGCTATAGAAATAAACTTGACTTACTAACTTTTTAACAAGGTTTGGATTAAAGTCTTTGTTTTAGGATTAGAGTTAAGATCTAAACCAGATTAAGAATCTGTGACAGGATTTTAAAACTGATGTTCAGCTCTGCTCCCCATCCAGTCGGTAAAAGCTTCTGCTGTTTTAATTGTATTGGGGGAAAACCTCCAGTCACTGGATGGTCAAACGACATGAAACTGCAGCATCTATTTAACCAAATATAGTCTAAATATTTCTGTTATATGAAGATATAGAATTGTGCAGAGGTAAAACCCACTCTTATATTTTTATCTAATATGCTCTCTCTTTATCAAGCAAAATAATACATTCAAGGGACAGCAAATAAATGTATTGTATTTCCATGAGCACTGGAACTATAAGAGGAACTGACACTGAGCATTTTGAAATATTAACTTCACTATACAAGTTGTACATCTGGGCTGCAATTACGCTGTGCAGCACATTTAGTGTATTTTATCTTGGGCTGAAACAATTAATCATATTAATCGATTATTTAAATAATCGTCAACTAATTAAGTAATTGATTGTTTACTGGAGTATAGGGTCACTAAAATGTGCCTTTAGCCGACAGAACGACCCACTTAGAGCAGGAATTATACCAAGATTGTAAAAAATATGCAAACATTTTGCATTTAAGATTAAAAAAAAATGCTTTAGTCTGTCAATATTCTCCATCCAGAACTCCTCAGGAGGAAAACGTTTGTTTCACCTGGTTTCATTACGTAAAAAATCTTCTCGTAAAATATCTTATTATTCATCGATTCATCGAAAAAATAATTGATGGATTAATCAATTTGCAGAATAATTATTAGTTGCAGCCCTAATTTTATGGTAACTTTCCAAACACGTTTCTTCCATCATGCAGCACTGAAGGGCAGCTGCTTCACCCTGAGGCTGCCCTGCATCATTATATCTGTTTCCTACAATCATATAATGTTTCTGTTATAAAAGTGTGTTTTTAATAGTAAAGGATTTAACGTAACACAACCTTTCATCATCATCCTATATTGTTTAAATTGCTCCTTATGTCTATTTTCTTTTTTAGTGGCATCATCTACAAACACAACACTAAGAATGAGTTTATTCAAATATAGAATCCCTTCTAACAATTATAAAAGACAATATAACATTATCTTATCTGTAATTTAATAGAATCCAAAATAAACAGCCAGATTCAAGCATTATTTATCAAACATTAATGTTTGTACTAATTTATTTATGGACCGTGTGGAAATCTAGTGTAATTAGAGTTCCTCTGTTTGTCTTTATTCTATTTCTAGAAGTAGAAGTCAATGAAATAGAACTATTTTTATTTAGAAAACAAAAAAATCTTTAGCATTCTTCTCGTCTTATGTTCTATAAAATAAATAACAGCTGTAATTTATACCTGAACTGCCGTAAAAATGAAAACATTAATAGCAAAGAAATATTGGTGAAAGGGAATCAAAAATATTGAGTTTACAGTCTTTGTTCCTTTAACAGCGGTTTGCAGAACTCCTGTCTGACTCAGAATAGTTTTATGAAATAAATCCTAACGTTGGGTACTTACATTTCTAAAGTTCATCAAATCCAAACTCTCTCCTGCTTCTTTACAGAACTGCAATCAGAAGCTTTCACCTGTTTTAGCCCAGATAATATTTAGTTTTTTAACTGGGACTAGTTTCGTTGCCTAATATTAATTTTTTTGTAACCGCCGTATTCTAGCGTCATTTTTTTTTTATTTCACGCTCCAAGCATGCGCACACATACAGACTAGAAAACAAACAATCAGAAAGAGAGAAGAGGGAACTTGAGGCAGACAATCAGAGAGTTAATCAGCGCAGCACAGTTCCATGTGTCGCTACATAAAAGAGCAGACAGCTGCAGCTACCAGGCTGTGTGTTTCCTGGACGGGGCCGCCTGTGGAGCTGGTTGACAGTTGCCTTTTGTATCTATGCTTCTTTTTCTATGTCTGCTTCTGTCTCCTTGAACCCCAGTCGGCCTCAGCAGATGGCCGCTCACACTGAGCCTGGTTCTGCTGGAGGTTTCTTCCTGTTCACAGAGAGTTTTTCCTCTCCAATGTCGCTACAAGCATGCTTAGTGTGAGGGATTGCTGAAGAGTCAATGAGTCGATGCAATCAGCTGGTTTTCCTTAGATAGAAAACTTTGAATCAATCTGACTGGATGATCTGGAAAGTGCCTTCAGATGATGTGTTGTCAATTGGCGCTACAGAAATAAACTGAATAGAATCCATCTTGTGTTTTAGTATTTTCTTTGTGAAGCGTCTTGTATTGTTCTCTTGCCAGTGAAAAGTGCTATAGAAATAAACTTGACTTACTAACTTACTTCCAGTGAAAAGGTTTGGATTAAAGTCTTTGTTTTAGGATTAGACTTAATATCTAAACCAGATTAAGAATCTGTGACCAGATTTTAAAACTGATGTTCAGCTCTGCTCCCCATCCAGTCAGTAAAAGCTTCTGCTGTTTTAATTGTATTGGGGGAAAACCTCCAGTCACTGGATGGTAGAAAACTGAAACTGCATTTGGAGGGAAAGAGGTTCCGCAAACTGTTAACACGCATTTGAAATGATTAAAAATTTATTTTTATTTGTGAATCCCTTGTATCAAGTGGTTTAACTGTTTGTGTCCCACATAAAACCCAAATGTATGCATTAAATTATGTTGCTGCAGGGTGAAAAACTTCAAGGTGTGTGAATACTTGCAAGGCAGGTCTGTGCGTTTACCTGCTGGTTGGTCAGCATACCCGGCGGAGCCAAGTCCATCACGACCGGTGAGAGTTCTGATTGGACTGCTTGCATGTCTGTGTAATCCTGATTCCTGTGCATGGAAGCAATAACCAGGCGTCGAAAGTTGGCGCTGGCAGCCAGCTGCCTCCTGCCCTCGGGGGCGCTGTAGAGCCAAGCAGTCTCACTCCCTCTGGGCACTATCAAAACGAGCAGCCGGTCGCACAATCAGAATCAATGGAAGAAAGAAAAACAAACTAGAAATCTGACAGAGAATTGATGAGATCACCTATAAATATAGCAAACTGGTTTGGTCGGGGCACTTTGGCTCCAGGGGGGCAATCCTGCACTGTGAGGGTGTATCTTGGAAGGCCTGTCTTAGCGTCACAGAGGGTAAGGGAAAGATTGGAGGCAGGGTCCGTGTTTGTACGAAGCCTCTTCCTGAGAACAGAGTAAGCCTGATACTCCCTCACGGCAGACAGAAGGTCACACACACGCGTGTGCCGGACCGGTACCCCATCGTCTCCGAGGCACATCTCAAGGATGGGATTAGGCATCGGTTGGCGGAACTTGGTAGAGATGAGGACAAAAACAGGAAGAGCGAAAGAGTCTTCTTCTTCTCTCCCCCTCTCCTCCTGCAGGCAGTGGAGCCTGACCGCCCAGCCGAGCTGAACAAAGTGCTCCACAGCCAGCTTAACCACACTCTCCTGAGCCAGGGTCACACAGACATACCGCCCTCCCACTTTAAGGACCCGGCTAACCTGCAAATACACAGCGATGGATGAAAATATCAATCCTTTTCAATGTGTTTACTTTACCCATCCCATCTGCTGCGGTCTAACCTCAGTGATCATCCTCCTGGCCAAAGCGCCCTCCTCTTCAGAGGCCATTGCATCCAGGGTGCCTTTGTCCAGAGCAGCCTGGAAGCTGGCATCCTCATAGGGAGTCTGGGTGGCATCCACCTGATGGAAGGTTAGATCAGGTCTGCGCTCTGAGTTCCGCTGGTTCATGTGAGCCACCACGGTCTCACTGATGTCTATGTTAGTTAGATGTTTGTAGCCAACATCATACAGCTGCTCGCTCAGCTCCGAGTTACCACAGCCAACAACCAGCACCTGCAGGGAGGGAATTATATCACCCAAAAATGTATGAAATGCTGGTTTTCTGCAGCCGTGGTTTTATTTCCATGTTAAAGGAAAATTCCGGTCAGTAAGGAATAATCAACGTATCATTATTTATACCGACAACTAAAACATTTGCCATGATTTAATGAATTTAGCGTTAATCAGTAACAAAATAAAAACAGACATTTTAGTGGCCATCACTGAGTCTGGGAGCGGCCATTTTTGCCCAATATATAGTAGCCCCTCCCTCCTGCCATCTTCCAGCAGTGACGTCACGGTGCGGTAAGCCTAGCGCCATCCTCCCCGCTTTACAAGCTAAATCAATGGGAACTACTAGACACATCTGCAATCAACAACAATTATTGAAGATTTCCAGAGGACTTCACCATTGAAATTCAACAGATTGCCAACTTGAAGAGGGAGAATTTGCCAACGAACGTCTGGCCAGAGGAAAATATGCTGGTGAAGATTCTCATTCATTTAAGTCAGGGGTCACCAACCTTTTTAAGGCTGAGGGCTACTTCATGGTTACCGAGTCTTAGGAAGGGCTACCAATACTGACCTATGAACTGGAGGGATCAGTGTTCACCTACAGTAAATCTCATCCATTAAAAACTCATTTTTATTCTTATTTTATTCTTTTATTCATTTCTAATTTGCTTTTTAATATTGTCATTTTGAAACCACTGAAATATGATGAAATAGTTAACATGATCAAATAATACATAAATGATTAAAAAGAAGAGCAACAGAATAAAAAAAAAATTAAACTTAACCCACTGAGTGAGTTCTTCTGTTTTCAGAAGATGAAGAGGGCCCCCCATGTGGTCCTTGAGGGCCCCTTGGTGCCCGCGGGCACCGCATTGGTGACCCCTGATTTAAGTCATAGTCATTCCAAAAAAGTAAAAAAAAACAATCAACTGGACTTTGTTTCCAAGTTTTAAGACATTTCTCTTCCATCCAGGAAGGTTTTTCAATACAAATGTCAGAAATAGCGTTGAGTTCCAGGCTTTATAGAGTCGATCAAAGAAAATCGTTGTTTTGGCTTAGAAATATGCAAATTAAACCTGATGAACAGGTCCACACCTTAGGAATGGAGGTCATTTTGTTTCTTTGTTAGCCTGTAATACGCAAAACCTGTCTATGTCTCTGAAAGGGGTTCGTTAAAGGGAATTGTTGGCCTGGCTGAAGAGGCGAGGTCTTCTGTTCCCCTGTAAAGGGGTTGGGGTAGTGATGATGGTGGGAAGGAATCAACTCTATTGCTGAGTTGTAGGTTTTTGAAAGCTGAAATCTGAGTCCTGCCCTTCTGTTTAAGGTTGGTTTTTCTTTCTTAAACAGAGGGGCTGGAATTTGAATTGAAAAAGCTTCCTGGATGGGAAGTGAAATGTCTTCAAACTTGGAAATAAAGTGGATTAATTTCTTTCACTTTTTTGGAATGACCAGAGAAAAAACCCGTAATATGTAGCCAACATTTGGAAGAAGAATGTTTTCAAGATGACTTGGATAATAGCGCGTTGTGACAAACACCAGATACAGCACTGGGACTTGATCAACAGCCGATACCGCACCGTGACGTCACAAACCAGTAGGTGGCAGTAGTGTTCTTTGACAAACATGGATGCCTCCAGTAAAGCACATTCACATGAAAATTACTGTTCATTAAAAGCGCTTATTATTTATTGAACAGGATGTAATAATTTCATATTTAAAGTACTTTTAGAAGTTTGAATCCTGAAAATAAGCGGACTTTTCCTTTAAAATACAACAGGACGCATTTTCTCCTACCTTATCCTGCACCTTGATATATTTATGGAGCACCCCACAGATTTTGTTGTAATCTCCGTACCACTCAAACGCCCTCTCTCCTCGCTTCTTGAAGAACCTCTCCCAGTACTCTGCAGAACTGAACTCCTCAGCAGTGCGAGGTAAAAGGCTCATCCTGTCCTCTGCGATGTGGGCCCGTTTTCACAAATATCTCCCAGGACTGTTTTTCCTCTCCGCATGGCACCCAGGGCTCAGTTTTCTACCCGGACAACATTTCTGGCGGTACCTCTCGGTGATTGGCTAGCTTCTAGTAGGCGGGGATGCGTTCTGCTTGCTGATTTGCTGTGAGTTGAGGAGCGTGATTTCATTGGTTAAAAGAGGAGCGCTCACTGTCCTGGCTTTTAGATTCCGCCATGGCTGTCCCTGCAGGAAGATCTGTGGTCTTTGTAACTGGAAACGCAAAGAAACTGGAAGAAGTAGGAGTTAGACGTTATCATTTGTTTTGGTCTTTTCTTTATTTCGTTTCTTAAAACCTAAAGTCTTGTGTATGAATCACATTTGGTTCGTTTCACACAGTTTGCTACACGAAGCTCTAAATGTATGAGCTGTGCTTCAAATGTACAGTTCATAGATCTGATTTTCGTTTCCATCCTTCAGGTCATCCAGATACTCGGAGACAAGTTTCCCTACAAACTAGTGTCGAAAAAGATTGATTGTAAGTATTATAGTGAGACACAATATGGTTAAAGAAATAGCTGTATATAGACCAAAGTTATTGCAGCAACCTAAAGAAGATTAGAACATTTCACACTGACAAGATTTAGCTAGAAAGTAATTACATCTTCCAACAGGACTTGGTAGATTCTGATTCCGAAAAAAGAAAAATGTTTAAATGATCATCGCTGTTTGACCTCAAGGTTCTATCCTGGAGCCTCTGCTTTTTTCTCCCTATATAAACAACCTGCCCTCAGTTTGTCCAGATGTCTGTATCCAGATGTATGCAGATGATGCTGTCATTTATACTCATGATAAAAACACAAAACAGGCTGCTGAAAAACTAACAGTCTATGGTCTATGTCTCTGATTGGATGAAACAATCCTACTTGAAACTTACTGTAAATAAAACCGTTTTCAGTGTACTTTTCTAAACCCAAGAGTGCAAATCATGTGGAAGATATTTATGTGACAGAGGAAGAAATAAAAGTAGTTTTTAGAGTTCAAATACCTCTGCATCCTAATAGACTCTAAACTAACTTTTAAATCCCAGATTTATTTAAAACAGAAACAAGAATTACTCCATCTGCGTAATAAATAATTAAACATAGATTACAGTAACCCCAGTGTTTATATTTATATATTAGAGCTGAAATACCTAATCTTGATGAATCGAGGATGGAAATCATCACCAACTAATTTAGTAATCGATTAATCGTTAACTGGAGTATAGAGACTCTTAAAAAAGGCCTTCAGCTGGTAGAAAAAAAACATATATATATATATATATATATATATATAAGATTTGCATTTAATAGAAAAAAACCTTTTCGTCTTTCAATATGTTCTATCCAGAACTCCTGAGGTGGAAATGCTTTAGTTTCATCTGGTTTCATTTCATAAAAACTCTTCTTTAAGGAACCTGAGAAACACAAGAAAATCCCCAAACACCCGTTCGTTTCAGGAAAGGTCTTTCCTCATAAGTAATGCTTGCTGTGTTTATCATGTTGCATCATATATTAATAACATAACGAATAATATTTCATAATGTTGTCCCTTAAAGGTGCTGTCGTCTCAGGGCATATTCCTAGTTCCTAATGCCTGGAGCGATCAGTCTTTAAATAACACTTCTTCATATGTTAAATGATTCTCACTCAAGACTTAAACTTTAGTATTATTTGAACTAAATATAGCAGAGAAATGCCACAGCGGCCGTGCTGCTGCTCCTTATGTTGAACTCCATGTCAAAAGAGTGAGAATGATCCCAGAAACAGATTTCCTGATCCCTCTTGTACCTCAAGTCCACTTGGTGGATAAATCTGCTGAGTATTATACTATTGGTAGGAAAAACTGTAATTTATGAAGAAGTATACACATCAGTTATACTTAACTTGCCTTTTTATGATTTTAAAAGATGAATTAATCCTGGTCCAAAGGTTACTAAATAATGTTCAGTGTAATGTTAGGCGGGTGCACCCTGATCTTTCTGTATGTCAGGATTTAAGGTTAACTTTATCTTGCATTAAAAAAAGATAAATACTATGCATACACAGCAAAGAAATAAATTGCAGTGCAGAAAGAGGCAAAAAGCCAGTGTGACTCATCTGAAGCCTCAACCTAAAACAAATAAAACAATGATAATAAAACAGTAACAGACATAAAGAAATGCACACATACTTTATACGCCTATTCATAAATGCATATTAGCATCATCCATTACAAGATGTGGTGCTGTCATGTCCAACCCTTCATTAAATTCACTTTCAAAATACATTTAAAAGGTTCTAATGTTAATCGTTTCGTTTCTAAAGGAGAAAAACAATTCTAAACTAGTGATGCACCATATTGGGATTTTGGCCGATATGCCGATATTTTAAACCTCATGTAGCCGATAACCGATATCGATACCGATGTTAAAGCTGGACAAAAATAAGTAGTCATTGAAAATAGCAGTTTTGTTCTCCATTTCTGACACTTTGAAAAATAATATACTCAAATATATTTTCATATGCTGATATCAAATAGATTTTTAAAAACGCGGTATCGATCTATTTTACTTTCAAAATCTGGTGAAATTTCATCGTTCTGTTACAAACTCTCGTGATATTTTGCAAATTCTTGTGAGATTTTGTTAGTAAAATAGATCGATACCGCGTCAATATATCAACATATAAAAATATGGCAACATTTGGTGAATTTTCGGGGCATTTCGTAGCATAACGATGACATATAGCAATATTTCATTAGTAAAAGAGATTGATATGGTGTTTTTAAATGGCAATATATCAGCATATGAAGATATTGGGATATTTTAATGTATCAATATTTTTTCCCTCGTCTTTAGAAGTTTTAAGTCTGTAAAAAAGAAGTTTTTGAGGAAGAAGAAGAAGTAGTATTTTTTTTTTTTTTTAGACTTTAGAAACTCAGAAGCTGATCAAATATCGGGTTAAATATCGGTGTGGTGGCCGATGTCCGATATTCAGTTTTAAGGCCGATACCGATAGGGGGCCGATTATATCGTGCATCGCTATTCTAAAGTGGAACACCCCTGAATCGGATAAATAATTGGTCTGGAGGAGACCGATATTTGGGAGGATGGAGATCCCTTGGCTGGCGTATTTACGTTTGAGTTTATTTCCCCTTAATATTAGCCGCCTGTTGCGTGTCAGAAGTGATGTTTTCCCCAGTAGTTGATCTAATTAGGCCAGTTCCTCGGTCCGGCTATAAACAGTTATAACCTTCATTTTGATTTGGGAATGAAATGAAAGCGTTGTCCTTCGGCTCAGAACAAAGTGTAATATTTTGATAAGGCTGGAGCCATGGATGCCTCCTCATCTGCTAACATGTATGATGTAAAATAAGATGATGTGGCAGACTGGAGATGTATAAAATGCTTCTTTAATTGTTAATCGGGGCCACTTCCTGAGAAGCGAGCCCAGCTGGTAAGCAGTTGCCTTCTGTAAACTCTAAGCAACTTCTCTGATCTGAGTAAGATTATAATTTCTATCAAAATCTGTCATCATGTCTATGGATGTAAATGTGTGTCGCTTGATTTGAATGAAAAATGCCACTAAAATGTTTGTTCTTACCGTTTCAGTGTTAAAATATATTCAGAACACATTTTTGACCTAAAAAGAAGTTCATTGTCATTATTTCAACACAGTTGAAATTTTCTCTTCAAGCTAAAAATTCACATTACTTCAAAGTGATTACATTTTCAATACTTATTTTTCCAGTTTAATTTTTGAGTGTTAAAAAAATCAGCATATAAAAAAATTCAACCTTTCAAAATTCAAACTCAATATTTTCAGCCTCCTGAGATTCAACTGGTTCTATTTCACTGTCTTAAATTCGGCGTCTAAATTCAGTGTAAAAAGGATCGGGTTACTTCAGGTCACAGACGTTAGCAATGGATTGTGGCGTCCAACACCCAGCCAATCCCGTTACGGTTTCTTGGTCACATGACGTGGCGCTCATACTGAAGGAAAACCAGCATGACGGAGCCGGTCATGCACGCTAACGCTAACTCAACTAGAGAAAAATGAAAGTAACAAACTCACCGTTGAGGGAGTGAAACAGCAAGTACAAACATACAACATTTACATTTCAGAGGCATTTTTAATTTAAATCCCAGCGACACAGATTTACTTCCATACATGTCTCCTGTTTATTTAATACATATCTGTTATGAAGGGTTATTTAAAGAGTTTATTCTGAGTGGTCTCTTTTCAGGAAAAAGAACGGAAGAGAGAGAAAGCTTCATGGTGGAAACACAGAGCTTTACTTTAACATGTGTATTATATAAATGAAAAGATTTATTCGCTTTAAAGTAGACATTAAGTTGGAAAGTTTTATAAATGAAAACAGATATTTGAAACATTTCATAAATTATTATAATCTTTGAACTTTGAAATAAAGTTGCAGAGGATGAGTGAAGTCCTGACCTTTTCTAACAAAGACTTTCTGCTTATGCAAATCTTATAGATATAAAGAGGTTAGAACAGCACCGTTATGAGACGTAGGTTTATCAGAAGAATGTCATGATTGTCTGCTTTTTGCTTCCTTTACCCAGTACCTGAATACCAAGGGGAGCCAGATGAGATTTCTATTCAGAAGTGTAAGGAGGCTGCTCGACAGGTAGATATGATTAACAATATGTCTTTATTTTTATCTGATATTATTGGAATGAAGCGAAACTGTTGTTTTTGTCCCAAAGATTGATGGACCAGTCATAGTGGAGGACACCTGTCTGTGTTTCAGGGCTTTGGGAGGACTTCCTGGTCCTTATATGTAGGTTTACTTTCCACTCTTAATAAGGAAGTAGAGCTCTGACTGTATTCCCGGCTAATTTTTATTTTTTTTCTGCGCAGCAAATGGTTTCTTGATAAACTAAAACCAGAAGGTAAGTTAAAAAAGTAAATATTTTGCTTTGAAAATGTGATTAAATCTGTGCAACATTTCTAAGCTGTTTAGCTGTATTGTAATGTAGGTCTGTATAAGCTCTTAGCTGGCTTTGAGGATAAATCCGCGTGGGCTCTCTGCACGTTTGCCTTCAGTGCTGGTAGAGATCAACC